TGGTTTCCAAGACCTTTTTTGTTGTGTATTGGCAGTTATGAGGACTTTTGGTATTTTCCTGGGTGGACCTGGAAAAATCCTATATGTAACGTATACTTCCAGAGCCATTTGGCGGCACTCACACCGAATTTTCCAAAAAATTTTTGATGCTGGACGCTCCGAGCTGTGATGGGCTAAGAAGTTGTTCGTTGGGTTAGATTAGGTTAGAATTCCAATGCTACATGTCCCAAGGTCTAGTTTTTTTTTTTAAAGAAAACATTAGCTTGCTGTTGTGAATGCCGCATGGCCTGGAAACTGCCGCCTGACATATTTATACATATATATATATATACGATGCGTATGCACATAAATAGATCTCTAGTATATACATATATAAGAGTCGCCGTAAAATCATGAAACAATGACAAGTGATACCCAGGAACAATTTTATTGACAGAGTTAAAAGATCATTCGTTCATAATTCGCGCGCTTTACAGGTCTACGGCCAATTAAAAAAATTGTTTCCACAAACGCAATCTATTCTCTCCTCACAATCCTCTTCATTCAACTTGACAAAATTAATACTGACGCTATTATACACAGATTCATCGTCGTCGTCGTCGTCATCATCATCATCGTCTAATCTCACTAAATGACAAACAGGAGTAACAACGAAGAGACGATAAGTATATTCGCTAAAAAAGAAGAAAAAAAAGAATCCCGTTAATCATTTTGCAAAATTCTGTAATGGCTGTAACGATATAAGCGTTTCGTAAAGTGAAAGAAAAACGGAGAAAAGAAATCGATGAAAATAAATAAACAAAAAAAAAACTGCAGCGCGCAGGCGCGTTGAGTTTGCGATTATCGCACTGACAAAATATAAGAGTACATACAAGTAGTAGTATTATTAATAGCAATAATAATAATAGTAATAGTAGTAGTAGTAATAATAATAATAATAAATACGTCTAGCGTTCAATATGTCCTGCGTGTCAATATAATTATAGTGTCTTAATTGTGTCACCATTTGAATTAAATTGTATATAAGTATCTATTAAATTTTAACTCTATTATATCTTTTCAATCAGGAATTGTATCCTTCTTTTCTTTCTCCCTTATTCTTTTAATTTCTCATTGATTCAGTACTCCGATACGCGGCTTGCCACTGCGACTATTCGCGTACTACATTTTATTGCGTCAGTATACGCGACTGTCGATTAAAAAAGGAAATTAATTAATTAAATCAAGAAACAATAGAAATTATATCACGTAACCTATCCATCGAACATTACATAGCTAATTCCACTAAAAATCTAGAACAAAATTCAAGCCATACTCTGTCATCGCTCTCTCTCTCTCTTTCATTCTTTCTGTTCGTATCTATGTCGTCTACAAAAACAATCAATTAATTATGCTCGTACACAGGGACAGAAGAGTCTCTCTCTCAACACGTTTCAGAAAACGAAGGACGTGGGATAAGCAAAATTTGTTTGGTTTACTGAAAATTGGTCGATACGTGTTCTATACGATTGTATGTACATCTTGAAGGAATGGGATTTAGTGGTCCACCTTATTAATACAGAAGAAAAAGAAAAAAATATACCAGAAAAAGCACGACATAACGTTTTCATTGAAAGGGAATAAGAACCATGACACAATAATAAACAAATAATCAAATGCTCATGTGCGATCGACGTAAGGATTCATCAAGAATAACTAATAAATCTACTACATTCATCTCAGGTAATGTTACAATATTGTTGGAGAGAGGGGGGTGGGAATTCACAGGAAAAGAGGGAGGGGATTGGATAACCATTACGAAACCATTACCTAACGAAAACAAAAATAAAAAGACAGAATTTACTGGCAGGTCAACGTAGCTGGGAAAGCTAAACACGACTATGTAATAAAAATGAGACAAATTTACAGGCTTTGATAGGTATAATGTGTATGTAGTGGTTAGGAAAAAAAAGAAAGGACTAGGGGATAGGGAGAAAGTTCGGTAAACTCCGGTCATATTCGGCGACGATCGTTCATCGACGATATAACCGCAGGAACTTGAAAAACTCGTAATAAATTACACCAAGACATGTTTTTTTTATTTTTCCGTTTTTTGTTTCTTTTCTATTTTCTTCTTTTTTTCACTAACCCCCCCCCCCTTTCTCACTCTCTCTCTCTCTAGCTTTTTTATATACGATCTTAGCCGTGTTCCTTTTATTACTTTTTGTTTGTTTAACTAAATGTGTCCATCGCTATCAATTTTGTCCTTCGATCCTTTTTTTTATGTTTAATTACTGGATGTGATGTTGGCTGCTGGTTGTTAATTATTATTGTTGGTAGTGCTGTCAAATTATGTCCCTCATTTATCCACCTTTTCTCGCAGCTATAACGTATCGTTGTCAGACGTTTGAATTTGGCGCGCAATATCACAAGAGGGGCTGCATGGCAAAAGGGGATGGTTCACAAGCGCAAGTATTACGCAAATTTACGCAATATACGCGCGACGATCGTTTGCGCTTCTCTGGCTTATCTTCCTCGTTTGACATACTTTCTTGGCAGATTTTATTATGCGGTGTTATATAATATTGTACTTGTAACGTATTAACTCATTTTTTTTTCTTTCATTTTATGTTCCGTTTTTCGTAATTTTTCATCCGGTTCTCCGTTCTGATGTAAAACAAAACTAAAACCACGTTAATAATCGAATAGAACGTCATTGACACGTGGTTTATTTTCGGATAAATCACTTGTCGTTCGTCCATTCTTGTTTATGATTTTGTTATCGCGCAGACCATATACTTATTTCTTTTACTATTACAGTAACAATCCCTGGGATGCTTTTCACGCATTTATATCTTTCTTCTCATCTTCACACGTTTCTTGTTTCATTTTCCTGCATCTATCGGTATTAGTTTCTTTTCATCTCTCTTATTCTCACTTGTATGATTACGTTCTGTTTCAATCTTACGTACTAATCTCGATACAACTCTGTCTCTCCCGAACCAGCGCGCCCCTCTCACACTCATTATTCGCCCGTTTATTTCATCCGATTTCCGACAAACAATTGGAAAGATTAATTGTATCTGATAACTGTGTGGTTATGCAACTGCGGATATAATAGTTAATAATAATTGATCCTTCCACAATAAATGTAAAAGCTAGTACACAGAGATAACAAGCGACTCTGACCTGTGGCCGCGGACAATAAAGACTTACAAAAACGTGGCACATGCACAATACTAGACAAAAACATTTCTTTTTCGGACAACACAATGATTATTTGACAGACTTATCGATAAGTGGCGGACCATCATTCGACTCGCTCGTTCTCTTTCTCCTCTTTTTTTTTTTCAATTAATAATCTTTCGAATTTTTTACCTTTTTTTTTCATTTTCTCTTTCCTTCATCCATCTCATACTTTTTTTTTTCGTTCAACCCCACTCATCCTCATTAAATCACGCTAAATTATTCGCGGGCGCACGTCTGCGCAGGCGCATCGTTCTTTTGCGCGGTGTCGCTCGCGAATACCGAATTCTATCGTTCGTAAAATAATATTAATAAAATAGTAGAAGAATCGACGAGGATACGTTGTTGTTTCTCTCTCCCTCTCGCTTTATCTCTCGCTGGTTTTATTTTCTCTATTTCACGGGGCATCGCACCCTCACCTTCTTGCTATACTGTCCAGGTCTTCCTGAATGGTACGTAACACTGAAGAATGCAATTTTCTTCTCATGGTATGATCTTCGTGAAGCGTGAAAAACAGTGTCGACTTGATGGGTGGGTTCTGGAGAGATTAGATGCCACGTACGCTTGCATATGTTAATGGCTGCGCACAGTCGGACACGATGGATTAACGTAAAATCTGAATTTCTCCACTGGCAGTCAATGCATGGGAAAGTGTGAAATAAACTATTTTCGAGCCATAGGCTGCGTCTGTTGTATGTATCTCGTGTATCTCCGTTGTTTCAAAGAGGTCTGTGTATGCTGGATATATATGTTGTGTGTGTACTTGAGTGTATGTCGTTATGTGTCAGATGCATTCGCATACATGTCCCCAGAAGGGACGAAATTTGCCTAAAGCCACAAAAGATGTTCCTTAATTGTCGCCCTCGTCCTCCTCGTCCTCCGACGAAGCCTGCTCCAGCCACGTAAGCCAGCTGTTTACCTGCAATATGGATAATTCATTAATTTATATACTTCTGTTAGAATTTTAGATCATCAATATAGCTTGTATTTTAGGTTTTATCTCATGACGTAGTACCAACCTGGAATAAGGCCTTGCCTTTGCCAGGATAGGCGTCGGTGACGTCCTCTCGCCATTTAATGAATGCGTCTTCCTCGATCACTTCGAGATCGTACAGTGCTGCAAACCAGCGTAGCAGCATCCCCTTGGGGAAATTGTGCGAGAAGCAAAAAACTTGGAGCGAGTGAACGGCTGTCACCTGCAGGTCGATAGTAGACAGGAACGTACGTAGAACGCGGTTGTACTTCCGCAGAAGTGCTATTTCCTGTTCTAGTAGAGCCTTGTCAGGATTGCTTTCCGTATCAACTCCATTTGCCAATGTTGTTTCCTGAAAGGATACGAAGAGATTAGAAAAACCATCATACAAAATGTTTATTTTTCAACTGTATCTTAACATTAATTCAACTTCGATAATTACCTGAGTGATATACTTCAGAAGTACAGTGGTGAGAGCGTTAATAAATCCAGGATCAGAATGATGGGAAGGATCGAGCTTCTCCTTTATCCATTTGTAAAGAGCGTTGGGATTGGGATCGGATTTAAGCTGTCGCCACATCTCGCCCTGGATCCTGAGTAGCGGATATAGAAAAGTGAGCTCACGATCCTCGAGGATCTCACCAAGCCTTTCCTTGGTCTTCTCGGCTTCTGGCAGCTGACTCATGAGGTTGACTTTGCTTTCGTTGAAGATCTGAGTCAGTCTCTCCTTACCCTGGCTTCTGTGTAACTGCTGAAGAGTGAGCAGGAAGAGAGGATGGTGCTGACCGTTCTCAGTAACGGACGCGAGATCGCTTAGTTGCATGAGATTATCGACGATTGCACGAGCAGTCAGAAAGGCGACAAGGGAAGCGACACAGGGCACAGTACTCTCCTTCTCAGCCATACTGGACACGAGCTCTTTCCAGCCCTCCAGGGTTTGCTGTGATGTAATGAGAGCCTCCTTACGTAGTTCAGCGACGAGCTTCGCGGCAAATTCGCGTTCCGTGTCAGTGCGATCCAATGTGTTTGAATAGAGAGTGAAAACGGCATGACGTACGAATCGCTCTGGCATCTTCAGATCCTTAAAGGCCGTTACAGCATCCTCTACTTTGCCATGGACCGCGAGATCATCCATAAGGGCGTTCACCTTCTTCAGTATTTCCTCGCGAGAAGGTCCTTTATCCTTACGATCGCGAGCTTTCTCCCTCTTATCCAGGGAGCCTTGTTTTATCAATATCGCTGGTGGTGGTTCCTTGCGGAGCAGCGACGGACTCGCCTTCAGTGTGGCAGTACGCAGCAATGGAGAATCTACAGTTCGGCCAGTGAACAGATCTAGAAAATGCAACGTTACAATTATTTTTACTGGCAGAAATAATAGAAGAAAAAGAAAGAAAAATTCATTTTATCATACCATTGTTGAGAGGTAGACTGGGATTGATGTTGGTCTGCTTGAACATCATCGAGTTGGCCGACGGTCTGAGTGACACCTCCTCAGGATGTCCTATGAGCATCTTATTCTTATTGAAGCGTAATTGCTCCTTGTTTCCATCTACAGAAAGAAAAACGGTTTCATTGTAACCAAGAACAAAGAATGCCATCAACAGAACACAGGAGTAATAAATTGAAACGAAAAAGACCACTCACTATTGTTATAGTTCTGCGGCGAGTTGTGTTGCTGCTGATTGTGATTGTGTTTGCTCTGGTAGTTGTTCTGATGTCGATTTTGATTCTGGTAGAAACCAGGTTGGTTGCGCTGATTATGTCGCGCGTAACCGATGTTCGGCGGTCCCGCTGAGAAACCATTAGAACTGAAGGGCGACGGTGGCATACCAAATGAGGACGAGGTTAACGGGATGCCGCCAACCATGTCCATATCAAGTCCACCACGTCCCATCTTCCTGAGAAAATCGGCGGCGCCGAGTCTATCCTCACGGGCGGTACGATGGTATGGCGGCCCGCCCCTTGAGGAGTCATCGTTATCATTGCGTATCTGATTGATCGGCATGGGACCCTCCGTGCTGGTGGCTTTGCGGGGTACCCAACCGTCCCGACGTAGCTCAATGACGTCACGGAGCATGAAGCGGATGCGCAGGGGTAGATCGTTGCTCTCGGCCAGGAAGTTCATACGATCGAAGTATTGGCTCATGAGGCAACTGCCCTTATCCGAGTCAAGGATACGGCCGCAAGTCCGCATGATCTGGCAGAGGCACTCGATATCTTCGGCCATGTCCCCCCTGGATCCGCCTCGCTTCTTCTCCAGCAATAATTGCTGGATGCACCGATGTAAGATTGGCTCCGAGACGATTTCCAGTTTGCCCAACTCTCCGATGAACTTGATATTACCGAGCATCTTGCGCTTCGCCAATTGGCGGCGCTCCTCGTCCTCTGGACTGAGATCATCTTTGTTATCGAATGCCTCACTGGCGCGCGAACGATTTTCGAATTCGACTCTGCACTTGCTGAGGAGCAGTAGTGTAAATGTGCTTTGACCCTTTTGGCCCTCGACAGTAGGTTTCTGCGGTTCAAAGTTTGGAGCTTCGTCAGACAGCCGCTTGCACAACTGTGCGTACATAGAACTGTACTTGGGCTCATCAAGTGCCTTGTCAAAGATCTATCAAAACAAAAAAAAAAAAAAAACATTTTTTATCAACGCATCCTTCCTCTACAAGGTAATAGCGTTTACGCCTTATAATTATACAACGTGAACCCATTACTTACCAGTATAATGACACCTTTCAGAATCACATTGGAATTGAGCTCAACGTTGAGCAGGTCGTTGCTCAGCTTTGCGAACTTTTCCGGTGTGAGCTTGTTAAGAATACCCCGCACCTTTCTGAAGATGAGATCATTTCTGCTTTCTGGGGTGAGTGCATCGCGTCTAACAGTTGAAGGAGGGATCCAGCGTCGCTCAGTGGATAGGGAGCGAATATCGTCCCTGGAAGGCATCGAATCTCGTTAGTACTCTCTGGCAAAGTTCCTCGCGCGCTTTTATTTTTTCTTATATCGTTTCTCTTTAGCGCGTGCGCGCACAACACACAAACTGAGAGGGAGAAGAAGCAAGGAAACTGTTCAAAGAGAATAGTAACAACCAAGAGAACAATTCAAGTCTCTTTCTTTTTCTCTTTACTTTACTCTCTCTCTCCCTTGCCGTTTATTTTGTTTGCTTTTTTTTCGGCTGACCCTAACCTTCCTCCCGAGACACGAGAAGCACCCCCCGGTCCTGTGGGGTTGTCCGTTGTTGCGCGTGTTTTGGCCCCCTCAACGATAAATCACAGCACACAGATCTTCCTTTGTGGAAGCTGAAACAGAAAACAAATCACGCTATAAAGTTACACAATTCCACACAATAGCAATAAAAGAAGGGTAATTTTCAAATTAAAAAAAAACTTTGAGAAACATTCAACCAGACGATCTTTCTAGTATCATTTCTAAATTAAACTAGGAAATATTCAAGGGGGTTCCATATAGAGACAAAAAGTGTATTCTTTGACCCAAAGGAATTTATCCAATTCGAAGATTAAGACTGTAGGTATGTACAGGTACCTGTACAGGGATACACTGAAATAAGAATAAGAGTAGCATGTAGTAGGGATGTACAGTAAAGGTATATAAGGCATATGTGGGGCGCGGCTCATGGTCAGACGGTCAATGACCCGCGATCGTGCCACCTCGCCGGTTGTCGGACAATTCCGTACCCAGTGGAGGTCGTTCGACTCTGGCGAGGTTAACTCGAGGAAAATCTTTAATGTAATTTTGCCGGGATCCCTTTGTCGCGCAGGTGTCAAGGTAACCTACCCGACCAAAGAATGCCAAGACAAAAATATATTATTACAGGTCCAACTAAAAAAGATCTCAGTCGTAATTCAAGCTTTCGCAGCTTTAGATGAACGAGATTCGCTAGGAAAGAAAAAACCAAACAAAAAAAGAAGCAAACACGGCTCATCGCCCAGTATCCGAGAATTCACTGGCGACCGAGGATGGACGAAAACGTACGAACATAGCCGAACGTGCACGATGCACGACGATTTTCCACGGTGAGCCGAGAGTAACCGAAGGAGCACGAACCTTACCGAACCCGTGAGAATCCACCGGGGCGCCGGAATTCATAATGGCCGCAGACCGTACTAAAGATTGGATCATTATCTCACGAATCTTGCACTGATTTCACGATTAAATTTAATTGTTTTTTCTTACTTACGAGCGTATTGAAAGCCTGTTCAATTAATACAGCTATGATAATAACCGTCGCAAATTGCAATTGTTCATGCGACGGTCCAAACCTGTGACAGCTAAACGAAAGATGGTCTCTTTTCGGTCTGTTATATCAGTAATAAGAACGAGATTAAAATAAATCCACCCAAATACCCATTCGTACGATAATGATTCCAATTATAAAGAATAGCTCTCTCATCGTTCATAAAGTACAAAAAGATAGCGACATACTGACGTAAACGCAAGGTGTACGTTCCTCTCCGCCATTACGCTCATCTGACACGTCACGATGCGCCATCATGACCAATCCTCGTTCCCGTACATTATCGCTTGTAGTAAACATAAGTACCTCACAGGTCGATCAAATCCTGTATATTTTACTCCCCAACGCCTTTTAACTCTTAGCACTCTTCGACACTACGAACAAACTGGTAAATGCTTGACAGAGGCCAAAGAGAATCGATCGACACACACCCCATTATCCTTAAACTAGGTAAACTTCAGGAGCAGCACTTTTTTGTTTACCTACAAATATAAAATGCACACGATAAACTTCAATATTACAAAACTTCGTACCAAGGACTATTCAGTCTTCGAGCACTCTAAAAGAATTACGGGAAATCAAAATATTTCTCTAGTTTCCAGGAGCATTTAAATTTTCTGTCAATCTTGCGATAATCAAATTCTTTCCTCTAGCGTTGTCCCTGTTCCTGCAGCGTCCACCCACAATGAAGCATACATAGTTGACTCAACGCATAAAGGAGGAATTGGGCCATGGTAAATCCTGACCCCAATTTTCCCTGAGGTACTCAGTGTACGACAAAAGCATGCGATAGCAAGTAACAAAGAAGGATGGACGATACAAACTTTAAAGGCCGTTCCCATTGAATGAGAAATATATGCTCTTCTTTGGAGGCTACATCTCTTTTATAAATCAGGTGGAGTTACGATATATCCAGATCACAAAAAAAAGGATTCACTAACCAAGTTGAGACTGCTCCTATCCTACTAATATTTATCAGTCCGACTGGTACGCCTGCCTACCTGCTTCCACCTCGCCTGCTATCTGTCTACTGCCTTGTCGAGTTAGTAAATTCTTTTGAGGTACATATTCCATAGGATAGAATGCGCATCGTACTGTGCGCGCCCGCCTTAAGCACAAATGAGGTTTATACTGTGTGAGAGGGAACGACTAACCAAGGACACGTTTCCTCCACGGCGAAGGACTCTCTTACCTACCCTCCTCCGCGTCAGGAACGGACTTCTCAAGGCACGATTCTTTGCTTAAAGAACAGTGCACAATAACGAGACTGTTTTTAAAGTCAGACAAGGATCATTGTAGATACTCGATCTTTAATAATAATAATAATGACTATAACCTTCTTTGACAGGGTCACGAAAAATATGTCCTAGGCTCTCGTACCTTACACATCTTGCAGATGTACATACACTGACAATGAGCTGGAGAAGGTGAACTGAGGTCTGACAATTTTTCCGAGGAAACACAAAAGAGGAAATACACAACGATAATAAGTACGTTAAAGCAATAATAAAACTGGGTATATGTATATAGTCGATTCACGAGTTCGATGTGCTTTTTTGACAGATCGAAAACAATGAGGTCTCTAGCAAGGCACACGTGTCATTGCATAAAATGTTTGTTACCAAAATCAATATGCATGGCTTTGAACTAAATATATTTTATTTTTCTATCTTAGCATATATTTGTTATTTTATGGAAAGCCACGTGTGATTTACTGAGGACTGCATTATTTGCGAATTATGAAAAAAACGACACTGAAATCGTGGACAGACTATACCTAATTAATATTATAACGGTAATAGCGTAAATACTGGGACTTTATTCGAGCAAGCACCATTAGACGGGTGACGTACAGCGTCATCTTTTTGGACATTCGGGTAAAACATTAACACATTGCGGATCAGTCGTTTTTATTACTAGCTGTACCGAGGGCCAGATATGACAACAATGAAAACCCGAGAATTTTCGTGATTGGCTTCAAGCGAAATACAATAGAATACACGAGAATTCTCGTGATCCGTCCGCAATATTTTAATGATAGTTCAGATATCGCGTGCGCGAGTAAGTAACAACACTCACCGAAAATAAAAATATTTAAATATGCAGCTCTTTTACTACTGAGTTCTGGTATCGATCCTCTTTCACGCTGGTTTACTGAGAGTTTGTAAGTAAATAATTCCAAACGGTGGGTTTTGTAACGTGTTGCGCGGTTGTTATTTTGAAGAAAAAAAATAATTAACAAGAGCTCCGCACTGCACGGAGGCTCGCGATTAACTGATTTCGATTCTCAGAGTGGCAACTTTCGAGAAAGACCGAAACGTGGCGTTAGTCATCGGGCACGTAAACATGCTCTGACTAATCGACCGGCCATTAGCGTTAAGGTAATTTCTTTGAAATTTTGAAAAATGCGTCCATTCGTCGTATTGAAAATATTTTGTATATTGGCATTTAATCTTTTTCGTGACTCTACACAGATGGTAAATGCGAAATTCTGCGTAGAGCAGGCTTTCTCGATTTCTTTTGTGATTTCTGGAAAGCAAAACGGTAATCGTTGATTTTTGCAGTAGTCGGAATATATGATTCTTTGAAGTAATATCTTTCGCGTCGTTTGCTTGTATCAGTTATTACGTTATTACGTTTGCTATTGAAAATATATATGATCAATCGTTCAACATGGACGCTCAGCAATTAGTGCACAAACGACAGAGAAAGTACAATATAACACAGATCAAAAGCAATATTGAGAAAACACTGATGAAAATATTACTGAATTTGCGTCACTGGTACTGGACGGTAGATAAATAAATGATAAGCTAATGAATAATCATTGTGAATCCGAGAAACGAGTAAGGCGCATGCAAATGAACGCTTGCATATATTGTACCTAGCGTATGACCATGTCGGATCCTGTCAAAGAGTAACAATTATCGATGGTAGTAAAATTTTCAGGAAAAATTAGCTACAAGAAAAAGAAAACACCCCGTCGAGGCCATCGAGAAGATATCATCGTTGAGAAAATTACATAAAACTTATGGACAAAGGAATCGAGCTTCCCCAGTAATCCTATATATGGTCCTACGAGAGACAATTCTATAACTTTTGTCTACGTCTCGTTATCTGTAAAAAACGTGTGGAATTTTGTAACTACGTAAATCGTTTAAGAAATAATTGCATAAACGAACGATAAATTTTGTCGGGATAAATGCATCGCGGATTGAGGAAAGAAGCGTAATGGAGTGATTGAAAGCAGGGTCTGTCAAAACGAAGCATGAAACATGTTAGGGTAAGCTTCGCGTGGGCTCATGCAAGAAGCCATAACGATATACCGATTTCAGTCACAAAACTAAAACGTCAAACGATCCGGATCCTGACGACCGTGAAAGATAAAAAGTACTAATGAAATTAAAGGAAATTAGCAAACAGCAAATTTTATAGCATCGCATAAATTCTGTTGGGAGACTTGGATAATAAATCGAAGTAAAATTGGCCATCTAGGGAAGATGGAAGATGTTCCTACGATCCGACATGACGCACGGCACGACGTACGCCAACAATCGACAAGACTAGATTTTCGTCTATTTTCTTTGAGGGCCAGGCACGTTTTCATGATGAACAAAAAAAGGATCTACCTTCGCGGCCACCACGACTGTACCACTATTCACAAGCACGGGATATTTGTCCACGATTCTAAGCACTAAACGCAGGGATTATTCACAGAACTTTTACTTACGGCCGACGGTTGTTGTTTGGGAAAGCTTTCGCAATCTGTCGGTCGTTCTCGGGGTCCTCCGCACCGTGACCCTTGTCAAGTAACCTCCTTAATACTTAGTCGACTCGATAAATCAATCTAAAAAAACGTAGAAAATTATTTGGATACCTTAAAAATATTATTTTTTACATTATTTTATGAATATTCCGTCTTAGGACTTTCATATTGTAAAAAAAAATTATAATTTAAGTAGATAGCTTGAGCGTGGTGGTGTCGTTAAGTCCGCCGTTCTTCTAGACACATCCACATGATTTAGCAGAAAATGAATCTCTTCCACAGAGAGTGTAAAGCTATTGGAATCGTGTATAAAGAATCTACAGGAGCCTGCATGAATTTTTTTCACATATTTTCACGAGAATGTCACTTCCAGCTATAATGTGACTGGACTCTTCATTTAGATATGCTATTGACCCCGGCCGTGTGCTCAACTGCAGTAACCTATGAACACGGTAGATGAACATTTTTTTTATAATAAAAACCTTGAGAATAATGTTTTATGTACGGATAATAAATACTCCAACAGCCTCAAAATATTTTGAAAGATAATTCTTTCTTTAGTTGTTAATTGCTCATCTATAAACTGTCAAAATAGTGTTGGAATCTTGCAGTCGGTAATGTAGCTCTCTGTTGAAGGACACGTCTGTAGGAACAATGGCACTATTGTCACGTAGACGTGAGTGCAGACAACGTCGGGGCAACTGTCACTTTTCCAAGTTTCGGTACCCGTGAAAAACGATCGTCCACTTTTTTTTAAATGCTGCACGAAACTATTACCGCACGATCCTAAACACTTGGAAATTGCTGGACCTAAGAATTCAGGTGCGTCAGCTGACATCAAAAATCATTCTTGACGTATAATTATTTATTTGCTTGAATTTCCTTCAATTTTTTGATATTGCAGTTACTTATTGGACGACTTAGTACAATTGGCTCATAATTAGAAGGGTCATTTAAAAACTGAAAATTGTTTCTTTAATAATAATTATAATTAATGGATGATAAATTGATGATTCATTTTATATTTCTATTATTTTATTTTACTTTGCTGAATCCCCATTTGCCTTTGTTAACTAACTCTTTCCACAGGTAGCTTTGTTATATTTTTGGATATGAAAACAATTTTAAAATACTTGATATCTTTTATTTGTAACAATACCATTATTTCTGCTTGGTTCACCCTGCCTTCCTTTGTATTCTATTGATTATTATCAATGCCGTAAGAAATAAGATTCATTATGCACTTTTTTTTAAATTAGCATTCTATGATTTTTTGTATTAAAGGAAAAAAGTTCAACATTTTTTTCATTCTATATTATGTACTTTCCTGTTGGTTCAAATAAAAAATTACAAGGCACTGTTCTTGCAATTTATAATTATTCCTTCATGTGTAGATATTATCTTAATTCTTTAAAAGAGTGAGCAAATATTTATAAATAAAATTTGGTAAACAGCTCCCTGATTTCATTGGCAACTGTTTGGTATTAAGATATGTTTATAAATTTAAAGGGCATTTAGGTCACTTCACTTACATGACTATAAATTGTTCATTCTTATTCAGATTATACTGAAATGATTTCTTTTATCACATAAAGTATAATCATTTTCTGTAAATGACTAATAATGGTTTCTCATTATTATTATATATCAGATGATACTTTGGATTACTTAAATTCTATTAATAATTACTTTCTTTGAATTGTTACATTTAAAGGATGGCGCATGGTTCTCAAGGCTACGGCTCCACAGATCAACGGTCAGATGTACCTGATGTTGGATTCAGTCCTACTGAGCTTTATAGCCTTAGTGAAAACATCACTACGAACATTTACACTATAAATACAAGCTGGCGTACATTAGAACGAGCCCATAAGAACATTGGTACAACCAAGGATAGTCAAGATCTACGTGACAAGGTGTAAGTCTCAAGTTCCACAGATACATCAAACTGAACCAAATTTATATTATTCCATTTCTCATTGTTCAATATCAATTATATGTTCTTTCACTGTCTGTCTATTTCATAGACATATAACGCAACTTAGTACAAATCAAGTGGTAACGCAAACAAGTAAGGACATCGCGAGACTCACTGTGCTGATGAGGAAAGGGGATAAGCAGCAAAAGCTCCAGATTGAAAAACTCACTACAGACTTCAAGGATGCAGTTCATAGATACTCAAATATGCAAATGGTACAATACAAAAAAATACACATACTAAACTCTGCCACAATTCCTTACACAATAATTTCAATAAATTCATCAATATTTCTTTACATTCAGAGTATTGCGGAGAAGATGAAAAGGCACATCCTCTCCGCAGAGAATCTCTCAGAGAGTCTGACAGAAGGTGATGAGGGCGAGCGTCAGAAACTTCTTCAAGCTCAAGAGGATGATGAACGTCATGCCGTACAAAGGGACTTGGAGTTCCAGCAAGGCCTCATAGTAGAACGAGAAGACCGTATCAGCAGAATCGAGGGAGATATCCTGGACGTGAATCAGATAATGCGAGAATTGGGCGCCCTGGTTCACCAGCAAGGAGACACCATAAGTAAGTTTAATTTTTTTCTCAAACTATTCAACCTGTAGAAACTATTACCGAAACTTTCTTTTTGGTACCTCCTTGTAGACACTATCGAGAACAGCATAGAAAACGTATACGGGAATGTGGAGATGGGTGCGCAGGAACTAGTTAAGGCAAGCAACTACCAAAGTAAATTTCGTCGGAAAGTCTGCATCTTGTTGTTACTCGGTGTGGTCGCGTTGATCATCATCATCGTAATTCTAGTCATTAAATTAAGTTAGCGCATCGAAGCACTGTAGGCAACGTAGAATGAGTTTAAATCGTGGAAAGCTGATCTCAATCCAAACTGAAAATCACAATGCTAATCTCGTCTAATTGCTTTTTCTATTTTATTCATATAAGTCTCAATCCATAAGGATTGAAACTCTGAGAAAATTGATGGCATCCGGTATTATTATTTATCCTTCAGGCTTTTATTAATACTCCCGCTACTCGCTTGTTACAGGATAAAGGGAGACGTCATTGCACGTATCCCATTGTTACAGGGTCTAATCATTGACAAAGGCGAAGCCCGCTTTCGTTAAAAATATCTTTAAATTTTTGTGCCAGGTTCTCTATGATCATTGACGATTTTCCGGTCGCTCTTCTTTTCATCTACCACTTTCTTCAGAAACTTCTCAAAAGTCTTATAAAAATCTTATAATTGCACAATTACTCGTTGCAATTACTTATAATCACCAATGACCAGTGTTTCCATAGCGGCGTTAATTACTCGTATGGGATTTCGTGAACGAGAATGAAGATTTCACAAGGATTGAGATAGTTCTGCCTCGTTACGGCCCAACACAGTGATTTTATATACAGGGTGTCTAAAAAGGAAAAAAAAACCGTTCACACTAATTACTCGCGTTCCCCTTTACGCTCTTGTGGAACCCCATAGAGAATGCGCATAACAATAACTCATATAGATTTTTAATGTCCAATCAGTTTACAGTAAAATTAAAAAGAAATAAACAGACATCAGATTTTGCTCCCACAGCTATAATCCTGATACTCCCTTTTCGGAAATCTTTTAAAGCCATGTATAAGCGTGCTACTGAGGTATATCTTTTTTATTTTGGACACCCTGCGCCTGTATAGGACTTACCTCATAATTGGGATAACCTTATAAGGGTGAATTTGATACTACAATATACATATATATTCATCACATGAAGAAGATCATTCTGATTATGAGGAACAGTCTGTATGCGTTAACTATTAGGCATTCCAAAACCGGAGAAGTCCATCAGATACATTATCATTATTGCTACTATTACTCAATATTGTATATATTACTAATTATTATCGTTCGAAATAAATAATATTATAACATTGAACGTCGTTGGAGAAGAACTAATCTACGAATGAGAGAAAAGGATTAAATGAAAATATATTACCGTGACGTCATATGTGTTATTATTATCGCTGTCGTTTTCGAGACAAGATGGAATATCAAATTTCATGGCTACGCTTTACGTGAAAGTTTAATGGTGTATCCAAAGAGGAATGAATTGACAATGGCAACATGTTGACAGTCTAAAAAAGTTTTTTTAAATATATATAAATAAACTATATAGCTCACCGAATATACACTCATCCTCCAACAGAATGTTTTTATCTATGGTAAAGTTGATCCCATCTCACAACAGTAAACACTGTAGTATACACATAGGTTTGTTATCTCTTGATGCAATCACGATATAAAGAACACAGTGCGGTTAGCAATGTATCAAGTGAGAATGCGAAGAGGAGGAGCGGAAGTGGGACGAGCACTAAGCACCAATCGAAAGTAGTTGGGCCACCTTAGCCAGGGAAATAAATAACTTTCGTGAGAATGCTCGTGGTGTACTCTTAATTCGGGACGATAATGAAGATTAATAGAGAAAAACAGGTCTCAGGCTTTGAGTTTGCTTTGTTGTTGCTGTGGCCTGCGTGCTTTTATCCTTGCTTGTAAGGTCAGCAAGAGACCAGCCAGGACGTCGTGGTTGGGTAGCTTCTTCGCGAAGAGTAAACGCTTGACGGAATCGTCGTAAGTCAGGAGTGCTACCATATTCTGGAGTAGGAAACCTTGGCAGTACTCCAGGAGTTGGGCTGCGTTGTAGACCTGAACGAGGATCGATAGTCTCATGGTTTATTCATATGATGAAGAAGAGATCCTGGAAGTTTTGACTTACCTTGGCATGGATGTACATCGAGACAATATTGTCCAGGTCCACCATGGACGAGCATTGAGCTTCACAGAACCTCAGGAGACCGTCAAGTTGAAAGAAGTTTGCTGCTGCCATTAACTCCAGGACGTCGCTTTGGTTTACCTCCAGAGTAGCGCAGCCTCCGTGGTACAGGAACTCCATGACCATCTGAATAATTTTTATTTATCGTTTTCCAGTGCGTGCATCTTATTCGATCCGTTGAGTCTTACCTGAAAGATGTGATAGCGGATATCGTTTATCTGAACTATCGGTGGGTTTCCTTCGCACAGTTTGGAGCTGAGCATGTTCCTGAACCTTGGGGATGACGTGACCAGAACTATTTTATGCCCATAGAAGACTCGGCCTTCCACGCGGAATTGCACGTCGCTCAATTCTGAATTGTTTACGAATTTTGGATCTATCCTGGAACCGCTTGACAGTGTCATGTCCCGGATGGGCTTTATTGGCTCCCAGCCGTAACACGTGCAGAAGATATCAGCTAAAAGGAGAGTTGTACCCTCTTTCTATAATGCAAAGTATCAGGATAGAATTGCTGTTGTTGTTTCATAATAGAAGATGACATGATTTTCATAATACCTTGCTGTAACGGAAGATGTTGAAGAGAAGCGGTAGACATTCCTGTACAAATTGCGTTGAGTATTCATCAGGGCAGACCTGGAGGAAGTCTTGCAGTAGTTGATCTATGATGGAATCCATTCGCATCTCGTGGGCTGTCGATAGACTGTGCATCCAACAGTGTAACGTCCAGCCTACTCTCAGGCTACGCAACTCCATAGTTATATCTACAAAAAGAAATTACATTAGAAAAACTCCAATTAGATAAACATAAAATGTGCAATTTAGTAAAGTTTAGCAGGAAGTCCAAAAACATACCCAGGTGATTACTCTCGGCACTGTGGTACATTGCTTCTTGAAGGGCCTTGGCCTGGGCTTTACTAAAAACTGGTTCCTTTCCTTCTCTTCTATTACCCCTTCCTTCGGCTGTCAGTTGTTGTCCTGTAGAGTTACCTTCCGCGAGGATCTCCTCCAGTGATAGGATTTCCTTTTCGCCACGCTTGGCAGAGAAGTTCAGAGGATGCGATAGGAGTTGATGGAGACAGCCACGTTGTCCGTGGGCAGTGGCTACGGAGATAGCGCTAAAAAGATGGGCTGTATTTATCACCTAGGTCATTGAAGTTTCTCGAATAAGAGGAATTAGGTTGTTGTTACCTGTAGCAGCCACGTTGTGCTGAACCGGAGTAGCAGAACGTGTCCTTCATTAGTGTAGAAAGAAAAGGTTGAGCACCGTGTGCCAGAAGAAGTGCTACCATCTCATTGCTTCCGGATGCTGTAGCAACTTGTAGCGGTGTCACGGTGCATTTGTCTTCACTGAGCTTAGCACCACCTTCCACTGCTGCTCCACGTTCCAGAAGCATCCTGGCGATGTTACAGTATCCAAGAAGAGCCGTGTAAGTCAAGGCCGTCCAGTGTTGAGTTTCAGCATTAAAACCGTTCTGCCCGAAGCAAATGTTACTGCTGCTACCACTTGAAGAGTTCAGAGAATTTGAATTTCCTGTGTTCTTCGTGGGTGTTCCTAGTAAAAAAAAAAGAGTCACCAAAATACTTATTTCTCAGGATTTTCTGAAAATTGTTCTATCCTGCATATTGGTTTAATTGAGTTTACCAGCTGGCTGATTAGTTGGACTCTTTGGACTGCCTCCAAGGAATGGAGCCCTCGAAGGTGTTCCTGAAGATTGACTACTAGGTGGAGCAGGACTCTCCATGTTTAAGTCAGCTCCAGCATCTAGCAAAGCCGCTACAGCGACCTCATCGCCATTTATGCAAGCTAACATTAACGCTGTGAATCCGCTGTCATTGACGGTATTGATTTTAGAAGATGGGAGAAGACTCATCGCCTGGGATATTAATTCAGGACGGCCACTGGTGAGCATCTTGAAGGCCATCTCCTGGCTGAGTCTACTAACGTATTCGGAATCTTCTGTACGTTTTGAACATAGCGTCACTTCCTCAGAACTATTAAAAATTAAATAAATCTCGTTAGGACAGTTCTGGACATACGACTGGACTCTAATATCTTTACAGGAAGTTCACTTTACCATATGTGCCTAACAGGGCAGTCTACTCCTGGCAGAAGTAATCGTGCAGCCTGAGCAATGTCATCATGATCCACCAAGTTTCCATGACGATGCTCTGTATGTGCTGTCGCCACTCTGAGCCATTCAACCAATGGTGGCAGTACTACATAAGCCCTTTCGTATGCCAGTTCTTGAATTCCTGAACCTCGTTCACCGTGCTCCAACTAGAAGTATAGATATGGCAGTAGATTTTATACTAATAATAATTGAGACCTGAATTAAGTATTCGCATACCTGAGAACACCTCATGTAGTAAAATAAAGCGGTCAAGGCTTTGGTGGTTAAAGGTACCGGACATCTTCCTGACTGGGCAACTTTGGATATCAACTCTAGTAATTCTGTCATCGAACCCACACAGGTAGTTAGCAAGGATGGTTCAAGGGTGTTACCAACATCCCTACCACTCCTTGAAGAAGATGTGGAGCTCAGGGAACTAACACTGGCCCACCTGGGCATAGCCAAAGCACCTAATACAGAATTTTATTTTTAAAATTTCCTTACTGGAATCTGATTTACGTAAACAACTATAGAACAATAAATACCGGAAGCTATTCTACCAGCGTTCAAATGAGCATATGGCTGAAGCAAACCCCAGAGATCGCCATTATTAGCAATGGCGTGTTCCAGCATAGTTGCAGTCAAAGTAGTATGTTGTTCAGATGGTAAACACTGCAAGAGTATTTCCTCCAATAAGTTTTCTATCCCAGCAGCTAAGTATATAGCAGCATACTCGTGCACCATCTTCCCTAGTTTAACATCCGACATCCAACGCAGGAAACGACCAACCGGAAGTTGAAGACCAGCCCGTGATGCTTTCGATTGCTTCAGTTGATCTCCTGAGACAGCAAACATGGCAGCTGCTCTGAGACAGGCCTAAGGAAATAAAAGATAATAGAATATATTATTATCTCAGTCATAAACAATGACTTCAATCATCTTCATCGTGCATTTGATTTTCTTGTTACCTTGGTACAAGAATCTGCTAGGGCCGGACACAATACAATTTTAAATGCACTGTAAACTTCGTGTTTGCTACATAGACCCAGTGGTTTGGCCAATCTCTGAGTTTCTCGACCAATCCTAACCAGAGCACGTTGCAGGAGATAAGAAAGCCTGGGAATCGTCTCCATGGAGACTTGTTCCATGTGCTCACGAGTTCTGCCATTTTGGAGAACACGGAGAACGTCGTGGTGCGTCCAGGGAAGTTGCTGAAGTTCCACGAGTCTATTGTGCGAATCGACCCACACGAATTCATCCGCACTGGTTACATTGGTGTTGATGGTCTCCAGACTGGAGTGTCTCATGAGTCTTCGTACAGCTGGTTCTGAGCTCTCGGAGCCGCTCAAAGACGAATACGTGGACGTCGACGTGTGGGAACGCATCGTCAACTGCTGGATCGCCAGTTTTATATCCTCCAGACCAGAACCAGACCAGGGTACTTGCAACTATAATATTAAAAAATCAATAAGAAGTCACAGTGAGCATGAAAACAGGAAGTATGAGTGTCATGGTTAAATTATGGATCATCTAAGAACCTACTGACCTTTGCCGGAGTAGCACGATTCCGATTTCTACTCTGACCAGATCTACCCCGGCCATTTCTTTGTGTCACCGATGCCGAGAGTCTATCATCCTCAGGAACGGAATTTAAATGCTGAGGACTGTGCATCCTGTGGTGTCTATGAGGTGGTGAACTACTGCTTGTATGTCCACCGGTGTCAGACATGCTGGCATGTCCTGAGGATCGGTTCTCATCTGAGGAACTGTTACCAGTGCACTCTGGTCTCCTCTATAAAAATGAGACTGATAAGCTATCAGCATTCGCTAGTTGAGACAAGAAATAGCATCATGCTTTGTACCTGGAGAACTCTTAACTCGTGGAGACTAAGATGATGATGCTGGGGATGATGAGGATAATGTGGAGTCGGCGTCGGTGCGACGGTATCAGTATCCCTTTCTGCTACCATGTGCACCATGTTGTGAACACCGGCTTTACTCTGATTATCCTGAGAGTCCTTGGTGTAAGGGGGACAATAGAGTTCACGTCCTGCGTTGCCTCCTGGCCTAAAGAATAAAAATACCAGGATAAATCTCATATTACTGTTACTACTTATCAGCATCGCAATTAATTATCTATCAAGACTATACAGATTAGAAAATATCGTTTAATCATTTTATTTTGATTCAACGCTTGTATCAGCCTTCATGAATCTCCACGTATTTCCTTGCCCTCCGGACGCTGAATATTTACCCGCGAAGACGCCATTGCTGTACAAAACTCCAATCAGCCTTGAATCCTGTAGTGTCTCCTGGCAAGGACCAATAGTCTTCGATTTGACTATCGTCCTCTTCAATCCTCAAAACGTCCTCTCTGCTTGGACTAACATTGAGAACAATCTCATGCATGACATTAGAGTCCTCGACAGGTTCCTGAGGATGCTCCACATCGCCTGACTCCTTCTCATCCATATCAGGATCATATCTATCCTCGGATAATACTTCCACGGTTACAGAATCTTGACAGGCAACAGAGATCTTTTTGTTCCTCTGGCTGGAATCTCCAAAGTATATCACAGTCTTATGATTCACGTCATTATCTTGCTTCCTCTCCTTCCAGGATGACAACGGCGTCCTGGGTATTGGCTTATTCACCAAGTCACACCGTGAACTCTTATCCTCCAGAGTCACCGAATTCTCGTATCCGCCATCCGACCACCTTTTCGCATATCCATTGTTATTATCAAACGGATGTGCCTTCCTCAGTATGAAATTCCCAGTGTCCACGTTGTTCTGGCTGATGCTATTCATCCTGACGTCCTGTAGCTCTTTGCAAAGAATGCACTTACAGTTCTCGTTGCAACCAATCCTACGTAGCACAGTTGTCATGACAAAATTCTATTCATCTTTGAGAACACTCTCCGAATGAGTCCCGAATTTTTCTACACCAAATACACAAATCACTGTATTTATATATTATGCGGATTCGAATATATTTTAATATTCAATTACTTGTCATTTAAACACCAATTATCATCCAGCCAAGTGTAGAGAACTTTTTCGATAGTCCGTGCCTGATGAGCGGACGCAAGTAAATAACGAGAGGAACTTTTGAATACCCAGGTGTTTACCGTTCCTGGGGCTACTTCCGGTGCCCATCCTACTTCCTACGATTGTGCTCCGGAATATCACCCCTGCCAGACTGCGTGACGAGTCGACAATTCCCCTGACAGCCACTTTCTTTTCGCGCCGACCGTTTGTCGCAATGCACTCTTTTTATCCTTTAAGTACAAGACGCACTGTGAACTGCACTCAGCAATGTTCATTCATGCTCAACCAGTGTTCATGAACGATTACAGTTTTGTAGCTTTCAATAGACTCTACGTTCTTCCCATCTGTCTAAGATATAAACACATATTTAACGACTAGAATCTCCGTATACGGTTTTAACAACCTATATATTTTTCACCGGAAGTCTTCAAGAGCTTCCCTATTGCCATTCCGTTATCTTCAAAGATTAATTTACAAGGGTTAGTCCGTACACCTCGCTTATATGGATATCCAAGAATATATCTCAGATTCTTATTATCTTCGGTCTTACGCCTGAGGAAACGTCGAATTATACGTCACTTCCTGGGACCTATGAGGTGGAGTTCACGATGCGCATTGTCCGTGTTCACTAACCGCGACCCCATGGTCTCCGACAAAATTAATCCAAGGACATCCTTGAGAATAATATGTCCTACGTGAATCCACAGTCTAGATGCTTCTTTGGAGTTTTTCAGAATGTTCCAGAGTCACAGGACGGAAACGTTAGACACACCATATCCAGAGTGCATTCTCCTTGATATACGGATGATGAGTAAGAAGAATATTCTTAACTGACGGCACCGTAACTAATGAAGAGGAACGAAGAAGATAAATACAAGGAAGAAAAAGACGAGAATCTTATCAGTCTCCGATTGATCAAAGGGCTCGTCCCTGACCTAGAGAGTAGCTCGAGTAAAAGGCAAAGTAAAAGGAAGGAAGGAAATAGCAAGAGACAGCCAGCACATTAACCTGAATGAGAACCTCTCCCACGGGTATTATTAACAGGATCGTTCCCATATATATTGCCTTATTGTTACACCTTGCTTTCGGATAACTAATTAAATACACGGCTCTCTTTTTCGCACGGTTTACCTCGTTAGAGGCGTAGGTACCTATTATTATTTCTTTCTTTCTTTTCTTGTAAACCGTACCATGATTTCCAGCCGTATAAGGGTCAGACAATTTAGAAGCGTGCGTCAGCCACGTATTTCATTTTTTGGCTCATCTTATTTGTCATTATTCCAATATATAGTCCACGTATTGCTGAACTCACCGACGTGGTTTTGGTCGCAAAATCTCGTGACCAGAGTCGGATATGCAAACACTAAGACTCAAAGGGCCGCCATAGTGTTCAGGAAGTGGTACCCCCTGCGCAGGTTGCTGCTGAGGACTGGATAGACCGCCGGAACCGGTAGTGACGCCGCTATCGGAACCGGAGGCCAGGAACAGAGCTTGCTGCCCAGAATCCTCCATTCTCGCTCGTTCAGATCTGTCGCGTTACTTGGGACGTTCAGTTCTGAGGAAAACATAAAATAAAATGACAGTGTTGCTTAACGAACTCTCACACAGTTAGGTATATGATATAGTGTAATACGTGTACGCACTTGACACTTAAGATTTATGATATTCATTTAAAACATTATCAGAGTATTTTTAAGTACAGTAATCTGTATTGCAATGTTTTTTATTTTTTATATTCTTCAATTACATCTCCACTTTCGTACTGCTGAGAGTGACGATATGCAATAAAAAAGACGGAGCAAATAACTGAATGAGCGATTCCATCGGCACAGCCCACGGGTTCCCAAGTGGAATCTCGAAAGAAAGTCTCTCGCACTTTCTCCCATGCGAAGGTCATTTACGTGATAATTAGCATCGGATAATTAGAGAGATATAAAGCGAGAGAGAGAGAGAGAGAGAGATCTGAATACAAATAATTGGTGTTTATAGAAAATTCCCTTTAGTTTATCTAAAAAAACGAGTTCATGGAAGTGTTGACGCAGGTATAATATTATTAAAATACTAAATGACTTGCGCATATGCGTATATAGATATATAAAGTGCTACTCAGTTCAAATATAAAACTATTGACTTTTAAATCTAAAGCATCTTTAGGCACGACCTTATGGAAATACATGGGAGTGTCTTATGAGGTGGATAACCCTGTACTCCATCTGTGCCCAAAACTGTACATCCTACTGTATGCACACCAAAATATGTATACTTATATAGGCGTACCGACGCACAATATATTTATACTCTTTGAGCTCCTTGCCCAGGAGCTCAGCTGAATTCGAAGAACGTTCGAGGCGGCGATTTTGCCCTCGGAACTTTTGCTTGATGGCCGTTTATTATCGCTCGTTTTCGTGTCTACCCTGCTCTTGGGAGCTGCAACTGCATGTACGCCGTGCACTTGTTTGTCCTCCTTCTTCGTTTTATTCTTGTACTTTTTGTCACCTTCAATACTAGCATAAGATAAGGCCATCGAGTTCACTTCAGGACACTCTCTTGATCCTTAGAAATATGTTTCATGATTTTTAGATGCGTTAATTAATTATACAGGTAAACAAATAGGACAGATTAATGAATATTATTATTCTTATAAAAAATAGACAAGACTTACTGTCTCTGTCATGAAAAGTGAAGTGGATGATTGAGTGAGTGAAGAAAAAAATATATAAAAAAATAGTGGAACTGTTATCGTTTAAGCATTGATGAGCCTCGTAGTAAATGGCTGGTAACTTTAAATTGTCTTGAAATAAATGATTACTGTCTTCAAGTCATATACGTAGTCTTCAGACGTGAATGCCATTCACCCGAATATCAGTAGCAGTAAAGAGTTATAGCCATTGACAATTTCACTGTAAAGATTCGGGACTTTGCAATTCCACTGTCGCCGTTAACGTCACTATCGCTCTTCTAAATCGGTGTTGTAACGTAACACAAATTTTTCCTTCTTTTTCTTCAAAGTCATCGTAATGATAGTCGCCATTAACAAACCCAAGAAAATTGGGCCAGTCATGAAAAAGATTGTTGGAGAGTGGAATAGAATGGAATGGGACTAGTTCTCTCCGTGGAGGCCATGTAGATACCTTTAGGAAGTCTCTGTGCTGCTGTGGTACAGCCAGGGACGGCACGTGCATTGAGCATGACAATATTTTCACAGTAGAGAAGCCCATATGAATACACGTCCTATAAGAATATATTAAGATAATTACAACAATTTTCATCACACTAATGGTGCTTGTATCAGGCAACAGACTTATGGTTTATATAATCTCTGATTGTTCCTCTGTTGTGACACTCCATTAAAGTCTATCCAGATATCTTGAGTCCCTTGTAAATGCATATGGTATAATTCTCTTTGTGATGCAATGATAAAAATTATCAGGTTGATGAAGACCACCAGGGGAAAAGCCCAGTGGCATATATATCTCCAGGTCCATCCCTGGCAAGAGTATGGCATGGTCTGGCATAGCGTGGAACGGCCGTCCGCCCCGCGGCCATTGCATTCCAAGGGCTGCCCAAACCGTATCCCCATCGTAAATACACCTGAGCTTCTCTCAGTTTCTCTCCCATATATCCACACCACCTGGACGTAACTGGTTGTGTGCACACTGAGGCTTCTCAATACACTGATCCGTTGCGTTACCGTCTCTGACAATAAGCAAATTAAGAGACAACTAAAAAAAAGAAAATTTACATCAAAGACCAGCGACAGGATATGCATATTGGTAATAAAGATTACGTGAAAAAGAAAGGTTTCTCTTCTGTGAAGCTGCTCAATTCTTGTTTTTTATAGTTCAACGGATTATGCTGCTTTCAGTAGCCGTCAGGAGCGCCCTACTAGTACGGACTGTACATAAATGGTAGAGAAGTGTCGCCCAGGTTTCAACGGTTGGTCCGTCAGGTGGTTTTTTAGTTTAATGTTGAAATTGAAACCAACAACTGGTAATTAGACAATTTCAGTTAGACTATAATTATTAGTTGTATATTTTATAGTTGTTAATCTGATAGATGATTCTTGAATTTTCTTGGATCTGTCTCTCTCTCTTTTCTCTTCTCTGTTTCTCTTTTGTATGTTGTGATCCTGTCCGATGGTACAGCCGTGTCTTGCACTCTCTTTCTCCCGGAGCAACTGGCCAGCTTCTCACAAGGTCTATACTCGTGCAAATACCTTAGGTAAACATGTGGTACCTTGTTTTCATGGTGTTAAACGGTACAACATCACAGAGCGGGATATCTGCATGCTGGTGAATAAACTGTTATTCAATTACTCATCTTTTCTATCTGGACCAATAGGTAGCGGTGTAATGTACCGTTTCTCTGTTACGAATTTTCATTATAATCCGCACACACGTTGTGCGCGTTAATCCGCACACACAATGTGCGCACACGTACCTTAACTGCGATTAGAAATTTATTCATAGCTTCACCGACTCGTTTTAACCGTTTGAACGGTGTGTTACTTGTCTTTTTAATTACTCCTTACGAGAGGATGGCAATAAGGTCACCGGGAGATAAAAAGATCAGGAACATCCTTTTCAAAGTAAGGCATACAACGAGGAAATAAGGAAAGTACGAGGTGGAACAATTTTGGGCTTCCTTTTAAATGCAAAAGCCTTGAGAATATGTTGATGTAGGAATGAAGAACTTTTAATCCTTCTGGTGTATCTCTGGGATCGCGACCGGTTTTCTCTTACCATTGCTCTGTCAATGTGCCGGAGGAAGTAGTAGTAGCCAGTAACTGCGCAGAGTGTCCCAAGAAATTGGTAGATTGGAACGCATGGCGATCGATATTGACCAATTGTATAAGACATCTAGGCAGAAGTATCCGTGGAAAGGTGATGCTAGTTGCACTACTATAGAGATGCACTTGGATGCACTTTCGCGATCATTCGCGGATCTAAAACTAGATGATAAATTAATTAATTTATGACAATCTAACGTTACGAGAGATAAGCTATGATAGATGTGGATTTTATATTCGTCAGGATGTGATCGGATCAGATGTAAGATCCGTATGCGGAGCGATACTCGCTATCAATCGGTATGCGCATCCTACGCCGATCTTCGAGTAGCCGCATTTCGGCGGCTTGTCAATTACTGGCAAGAGAGGGCCTTTGTGTCCAGCATCTTTCTTGCGGTCCAGACTCCGGAGTTATGGCCGGGGCTGCCCGGGGAGCCGATTTTCAGAAACAGAACGTGCTGCCATCTTTCTCCTGGGTCCGAAACTTGTGCGATCTCTTGGTACTGCTTGGTACTTTCACCATGACCATTCATTTTTATTATTACAAAGTTTGGAGTAGTTGTATATAAACAAGTACATTAATGCGATCGTTATCGATAGAAGCTATTGATATTTTGAAAATAAGAGGAACTTATGACATTACTGTCAAATTCAGTCATGTGATTGATAGTTGCCATTGACCTGAAGTGAACCTTGAATCCTAACCTAGAATGCACGTATCTTCTCTCGCTCACTCCATTTTCAACTGACTTTCCCGGCTGTTTAAATGAGACGAAAGACTGAAAATCCAACCTTAATCGGACTGAATCGATCGGCGAGAGTATAACAGGGGTATATCGCAAGTGAGCGACAGAAATCGCGGAGTAGAAGCGCGTGCGCGTCCTCAAAATCTCGCAGAATTCGTTTAGTCGGCGTCGTCACCAGTTTTGGCCATTTGGCCGAGTCCAAAGAGGCATCACGAACCTGATTAAACATCGAGCGGGTATCCTCCGTTACCCGTTCCAAATAAAAATAAAGAGCGTATCAATAGTGATAATCGCTCATTCCGTGGCTACTAAGTGAAATAAAATAAAGTGCAAAAATAAGGAGTATGTGTGTCCGAGCGTGCGGGGATCATACGGTAGAAACGTCTGTCAAAGTTCCTGCGGGAGATCCTCTATACGGAATAAGGTTCTTGTGATGTCCAACGTGTATAATGGTGATGCGTCCTGGATTGTTTAAGTCAAGGAGGAAGGCACCTTCGATGACATTTGTCATAATATCGTGATGGGAGTGCCTGCTCGCGGTGCCCTAGGGGCTGTCGTCGCCATTATCGCTTTTGGTGTCTATACGAACAGTCTTGGATGCGGCTTCGTATTCGACGATATCTCCGCAATCAAGGACAATCGTGACCTAAGGCCACATACGCCTCTCAAGAATGTCTTCTACAACGACTTCTGGGGCACCCCTATGCACAAGGTGGGACTTTTATCCTGGGATAAGGATTGATCAATTTGTGGCTGATACCACATACTGCTTTGGGCCATCTTGTTCCAGTGGCGAAGGACGTTTATTGATCCGCTCTTGGGTTTCCACGTTCCTCAACGCTAATAGCGGCCCTTTTCCGTTGCGTTTCCTACTTCGACCTATGGCATTTTATACACAATACTCTTTATCGTATTATCTTGGATCTTTCTTTTACTAGGGTCCTATGATATACATATTACCTATTTTTCTCTCTCCTTGTTCTCTTTCCAGAATATACCTGATTATTTTTCGTTGTTGTATACTTGTTTTACATGGCTATGATTTTTAATAAATATTGATTTTGATTTGACTTATCTTTTTTCTTTATAATCTCCTTTATGTTGTGTTTTGCTAATGTACACTGATTGATTCTTGATGTATGATATGAGATAAGATAGCTTTTGCACCGTTTAAATACCTTGGGGTTTAGGCATCATTGATGATTTTCCTTTTTTTTGGAGCAGAGTAGACATGTATATCAATTGATTATTTTTGTTTGTGAATAAAGTACATATAGTATGATGAAACAAGATATTCGATTCATGCCAATGGTATGGTTCTGAAGGGTACTTATGCTGAGTGAGAGAATTTAATTGTTGTTTCTTACACAGGAGCAATCGCACAAATCATATAGACCCCTGTGTGTATTGACATTTCGATGGAATTACCTGATTCATCAACTGGACCCAATGGGCTATCACTTACTGAATGTAATCCTTCATGTTGGAGTGTGCCTGCTTTACTTCCGGTATTTAAAATAGCATCATTATTCTAAAATAATTATTGAAAAGAGAGAAATTCTCTAAATTTCTACTAAATTCTTATTCATTTTATTTGCTTTGTTATTTCAGAATGTGTCTGATGTTTCTGCCAGAAACAGCAAGCTTTGTCTCTGCATTATTATTTGCAGTGCATCCAATTCATACAGAAGCTGTAAGTCTGTTACTAAATAATATTGAAGTTTTCACTAATAAAAATTAAATGATATTCTCTAGGTCACTGGAGTCGTAGGAAGGGCAGAAACTTTATCATCCCTATTTTACTTGGCAGCTCTTATTACATACACCAAGTGTTGCAGGAGTAAAAGATCGACAGGTAATTTTTAAATTACCAATACTGGAAGATGTATCCAACTCCATGTCAGTGCTTTACAGAAGATATTCTGTATTTATAGGGTGGCGGTCGTTACTATTATCCATGTTATTTGTGCTTACTGCTATGTTATGTAAGGAGCAAGGAATAACTGCAACAGCAGTCTGTGTTTTGTATGAAATATTTGTTGTGCAGAAGGTAATTCACGTTCCCTATGCATATTTTTATAGAATTTACAAATAAAATAATACTATATACTGTTACTTGTTCAGGTAAGAGCCCTGGATATATTCTTAGTAGTGAAATCAGCCTTTGGTGGTAAGAAAATATCACCTTCTTGGTCTGGTGAAGGTACAAAAAGACTTAGTGCACTGACACTTGTTACATTCTGTCTTCTTATACTCAGACTTCAAGTAATGGGATCTAAATTACCTGTCTTTACAAGGTACAATTGAATAAATTCATTGATGAATTCAACTATGTTTCTACATACATATATTGATACTTTCAGATTTGACAATCCAGCCTCAGTGGCTTCAACTCCTATAAGACAATTAACATATAATTATCTAGCAGCAGTAAATCTTCGACTCCTTTTCTTACCAATTGATTTATGCTGTGATTGGACAATGGGTACGATACCATTAGTGGACAGTTTTGCAGATCCCAGAAACCTTGCCACACTTGCAAGTCATGGCTTGATTGCTGGCTTATTTATAACAGCAGTCCTTACAAGGAGTCGACAAACTTCAGTTATATTGATAATGGTCAGCACTAGAATATTAATCGGAATTCTAATCCTGACTGTTATATATTATTTACTAACAAGAACATGTCTTCTAATTATTCAGAGTTTAGCCCTGATGATTTTACCATTTCTGCCGGCCTCCAATTTGTTCTTCCCGGTAGGATTTGTCATCGCTGAAAGAGTCCTTTACGCACCTTCCATGGGATTCTGCATGCTAGTTGGCTATGGCTGGAACATACTCTCTGATAAGAAGTAATTAATAATTAAGTAATAATTAATATTTTTTTAAATTTCTGTATCAACTTCTTAACTTGATTTATATTTAGAGAAATATTGTTCTTTTGTTTTTACCATTGAGTTGATACAGATGAAAATTTCCCATTTCTATATATGTACTATGTATTCATAGGTACAAGAAGATCTCATTGTTACTTTTGATAACATTATTGGCTGCGCACACCACCAAGACCTTCATCAGAAACTATGACTGGCTGGACGAGTATTCGATATTTATGTCAGGCCTAAAAGTGAATGATAAAAATGCTAAGCTGTTCAATAATGTCGGTCATGCATTAGAGAGTCAAGGGCGGTTTAAAGAGGCCCTCAATTTTTTTAACATGGCAGTACAAGTACAAGGCGATGATATAGGTGCTCACATTAATGTTGGGAGAACTTACAACCATTTGAAGATGTTCAAGGAAGCTGAGGATGCGTATTTGAAGGTACATGGGCATTAGCTAACTCAAATATATTTTTTGTGATTAATTAATATTTTATGTAAATTCTTAGGCTAAGTCACTCCTGCCTAAGGCAAAACCTGGAGAATCCTATCAGGCCAGAATAGCACCAAACCATCTGAATGTCTTTGTCAACCTGGCTAACTTAATAGCCAAGAATGCTACAAGACTTGAGGAGGCTGATCTGTTATATAGACAGGCAATTAGCATGCGCGCGGATTATACTCAGGCTTATATAAACCGTGGGGATGTTCTTATAAAACTCAATCGTACAAAGGAAGCTCAAGAAGTCTATGAACGAGCATTATTTTATGACAGCAACAATCCTGACATCTATTACAACGTGAGGAAATACTCTGGCCTCTCAATTTCTTCCTCTTTTGACAAAAAATAGTTTCTTTTTTTCCAAATTTAAGTTATAATGTAAATAATTTGTAAAATTGCAGCTGGGTGTGGTGTTCCTGGAACAAGGAAAAGCTTCGCAAGCATTAGCCTACCTTGACAAGGCTCTTGAATTTGACCCTGAACATGAACAAGCTCTACTGAACTCTGCCATACTGCTGCAAGAATTAGGACGAGCTGAGCTGAGAAAAGTAGCTAGGGAGAGATTATTGAAGTTGTTACGTAAGGTAAGAATATTATTCAAATTATTCCTATCATTTGCGATTAAAGACATATTGAATATCTGTATGATATTCCAGGATTCAAATAACGAGAGAGTTCACTTCAATCTGGGCATGCTGGCCATGGACGATCATGACAGTGGAAGTGCAGAACGCTGGTTCAGAAATGCAGTCGCACTCAAAGAGGACTTCCGCTCAGCCCTTTTCAACCTGGCTCTGTTACTCGCCGACGAGCAACGTCCTTTAGAAGCAGCACCCTTTCTAAATCAGCTGGTACGCTTCCATCCAGATCACGTCAAAGGCTTGATACTCCTAGGTGATATATACATAAACAACATAAAAGACTTGGACGCAGCAGAAAACGTAAGCATCCTTCTGTCTTTTGATCTACAAAGATTAGAGGAATCGCACAATCATTTAAAAATCACTGCAATATATTTTAAAATTTACAGTGCTACAGAAGAATCCTGCAATTGGATCCAACGAATATCCAAGGCCTGCATAATCTATGCGTGGTAATGGTAGAACGTGGTAAACTTGGTCTTGCAGCGCAATGCCTGGAACGTGCTGCAGCACTAGCGCCACAACAAGATTACGTTCACCGCCATCTGGCGATTGTACGCGCAAGGATAAACCGGCTACCACCTGAGCAAAGGGACACAGAGGTATTTGATGACTCCTTCTGGAACAACGGTCCCAGGGATGATGAATACACAGGCAACGATCTACCGGGTGATCAATTCCTGAGCAAGGATCCTATGTTCCTAAATCACGCAGTAGTCCACAGTCACTTGAGTGGCAAATCTAATGGTGCTGAGGAACGTGTGAACAATCACATAATCCACTTGCAGGGTGCATCAGAATCGAACAGGCCCACGAAACCTACTGTTCAGAAGAAGTCCAGCCCTATTCCAGAGGGTAGGGTATTCGATGAGATCGTATCCAGTGTCCAGGAAGTTGAGCTGGTTCACAATCCCCCTACGAAAATCTCCGCCGACCAATTCAATCAGACAGCATCTTCGTTGACCGGTGCAAAGCATTCCAGCACTGTCGAAAACGACGACAGTGGCCTCTCATAGTATTAATGGAGGTTCATTCCGCCGAATATTGTAAAGTTATTAATCTCCATAAGAAGAGTAATGGTGGTATATACAATATGTATATAATGCATATGCGTATCTATACATGTATATATTATATGTATACTACCATATGGGAAAGGATTGCGTTACACGCAATGAAACGTACACTTGAAAAAGAACACACTGGACAGAGTCATATAGCGCTAATGTGTGAATATAAATTAAATACAGAGTATTGTTTTATATACTGTATAAAAATAGGACGTTTTGTAAAATATATTTAAAAAAAAGATCACGTCTTCATTCGTTTCATGATCCTTGATCAGGGAGATAGGGGAATCCCTGGAAGCTGGTACCAATATCACAATGAGATCTGTTGTGTCTCTGGGACTTGTAAATTTAGGTCCTGAACGGACCCCGTAACTTCTCAATTATTGCGGCTGTTTAGTCTCTCACTGGAGGCATCTTGTGAGGGCTCACTTATCATTTGCAAAATAAATCACCGACGTCGACCACCCCATGATGAAAATCTGATACGCCGCGCCTTATCGTGGAGTTAAACTCTACACTACTGACTATCGGACGTCTGCACGTTCGTTGACTTTGTGGCAATTGCAGTTGGTATCGAGTTTCATAAGAAATTTAGAGTGACGTCATCGGTAACCGGGTAAATTGATTACGTTCGAGTAGAAGAAACATAATAAATGTGTATGAAAAATACTGTGAATCATATAAGGTAAACGTCCCCATGGCCGGACACGTATGAATCTGCAACCACTAATGCAAATATCCCATCTAATAAACGTTTATTAAATTAAAATAAAGAATTAACCATTAAATTGGTATGTACGATTCATAATCTATGCGGAGGGAAATTGTCAAAATAGTCCTCAAGCCGTTTGTGACCGTTTTTTAGGGATATTTGAAAGTGTACCCACACTGCTCAGACAAACCAAGCATATCTCTAAGTGGGTTAGCTAAGGAATAGGCGAAGTATCATTGAGTCTATGTCGTTTTAATTTTTGCTATTTCGATACTAACCAATAGTTTTTTATATTCATAAAGTAACGTATTTAACGCTAATATCGAAATTAGCTATTAATCGCCATTAAGACGGTAATTTTCACGGTTGGCTATTCGGACACATCAATCGTAAGCTCGTACCGATATCGAACTATATATGCGTGTGTCCGAGCATGTACGCACGTGCAATGCGGTGCAGATCCTGATGTCAGCGACCATAACCTCAATAACTGAACCGAATAAGATCGCCCAAACGAAACGTTCGGCAACATGTAATTGCTATTTACATTCGCCTAGACATTCGCCTTAACATCAATAAACGATAGTTTGTAATTACTATACATATAATCTATGCTGTCAGTAGTTTGCATTTAAATCCTAATATCATACTGAATAAAAACAACATACTGGCGATTTTACGTTAAATTTCGGAGCTATAGATAAAAAATAAGTATACATATACTTTGTAAATATTATTTGATAAAATTTACTTAAATCTTTGATAGTTTCAAGCTGAAAAATATTCATATCTATGCGTGAAGTCTGTGTCGAGTAGTCAGTAATTATAATTTTCCAGATATCCTATCGTTTATTGCATATTATGTAAAGATCCTATTCACACATTATTACTAATGTATTTTGTAATTGCAGAAGAAAGAGCAGCAGGTCGAAAAGAAAAGATAAATTGAAAAAAGAAAATCAAGCAAGAAGGAAGCGATCACAAAAATAAAAAACACCTCATATGGTTACGTAATATGTATTTAGTAAAAAAAATACAGTTTTATATTTCTAGTACATATATTTACGATACTAAATATGTTTATTTGATGTACAGTATTTTAAAAGTAAAAAATGAAATAAATAATACAATTAAATGAGTCGATTCAACTTGCACCTCTGACTGGCTGATATTAGGGACATGCGATGGTCGAGTATTGGGACGTAAAAAAAATCTATGGCCACGTATTGGTACACTTTCTTTCCTCGCTATTTTAAAAAATTATGAATAAACTACTGCCCATAAAATTAATTAACAAATGGTTTTCAGAGGCTAGAGGTTGTAAGCTTTCAATTAGTTAGATTCATTTATAAAAAAAAAATTTCTCTTTAATCAGAAAAATAATTTTGAATTTGCTCGTAATCCAAGATGGCCGGTAATTGGGACGTCTACCTTACCATTCGATAGAAAAAAATTCAAATAAATTTACGTATCGAATAAAAAAGATATGCTTTGTTCATACGGAAGAGTAAAGTCCTAATTCATCGTGGATCCGTATCTATTAGAAACGATGACATCATGTCCCTGAAATATGCAAATATTAAAAGAAGATCGTAATTAATTACTTTAATTATTTTTGCCTTATCTATCTTGACTGATATGCAAAGTAAATATTTACGGCACTTCGAGGGTTTCCATGCACGAAAAATTGTGTTCAAAGGTTGCGACGCGCGGATATTAATGCCCATATGTATTTACATACGTCGCGTGTATATTCGGAAGCCGGTTATGACGATGAAAAGCAAAAGAATGGCTAATCTAATCCGGGCATGTCAAAGTTCTAGATACATCACTGACATCTAGAATTACTTGTTGTCTGCCCGACGAAGAAAAGAATTTGCAAGCCCATACGCCCGGCCAGACAGATAAAATTTCAGTGGCGACCGCCGTCCTTTTTTTCCGCTCGAACGAAGATTACCGAACTATGCCGAGGGGGTCCTTGTGTTTCTTGCCGACAATGAATCTCATTTGCATTGATCCTGGGACAACAGCAACACAACTAAAAGAGGAATTGAGAGACTGTGAATAACGGGTCGAATAATCTAATGGGAAAATAAGACGAGAGGATTTATCGCAATAAATAACAGCGTGAGAACTTATAGTCATTATGCACACGTTGTTCCATATAAATTTAGCACGACATACTATAACAACATTTCGGATTCAAAACAAGTATCAAGCAATTTGCCATAGAAATTTTAATTGCATTGTATGAAAAAATCTTCAATTCGATGTTACCAGATAAAAAATGGCGGACACTTCGATACGCTTTGTACTGAATATACATACACAGTGTGGGGCGAAAATCATGGTACAGCCGAAAAATCAGCAAGTCATTTTTTATGGAAGAATAAATCAAAATTGTAAAATAAATGTTTTTTTTTTCTCAACGAGGCTTGATTTTTAAGAAAATTGACTTTGAAAAGCAAACGAGCACGTGTTTACTTGGCTAATACTCGACTTGAGGGATCTCGTTAGAGACACACTAATTTCATGCGTACTTGTATTCTTTAATATCACGTCATCCAGGTGTTTGAAAGATTGAAGGTTCAGGCCACGGTAGACGCAGTTCATGCCCCTCTAATTTAACAAGCCCAACTTCTTATGCAACAGCGAGGTCGAAATTTTCAAGAGTTATAAAAAAACGAATAAAATTAATTCTTTTCAAGATTAGTATAAAAATTTAATTGTTTAAAACAATCTCAAGTTTGTACAGAAGGTTTTATACAGAAGGAAAATATCGATATACATACAGTAACGTCCAATTGAAGTGCAACACTTGAATTTTTGTACATTTCTGTGAAAGTATGATAGATTTCGAAAAACCAAAGACACATTTTTTAGGAAATTTCCTTCCCGTTCGATTGGTAAAGGTTTTATCGCGATCGGATACAAAATGGCCGAATGGCAGGGGTTGGAGTGAAAAAGTGCATTTTGAAACTTTTCGAAAAATTCGAGATCTAGTAGTTCCGGAAGGAAATTTATATTTCTAATCAGGGCACGAGAGAGAGCATCCGTCGGCATTAAAAAAACACCCCCATTGAACCCCTGTAGGATCACTCTAGGGGGAGTTACACCCCCTTGAAGTGAAAACACTTAAATGGCCATAACTTCCGAACGCGCCGGCCAATCTGGTCCACCTTCTGCATGATATCATCCGTAATGATACTGCAGATTCTCACAAAATTATTGTTCTCGGAGACGATCCCGCGACGGAGATCTCGAGATTTCGCAAGCGCACCCGCAGCTTCCCCGCCATTTTTCATTAGGAAAGCGATGAAATAGAAGTTTCATTTTTATCCACGTTGTAGCTGAGATTTCAACGATTGAAACGCGCTTTTAAACATCCAAATACGAGTACGCTAAGGGGTTCAATTATCCGTTTGAAAAAATATCTAAATTTTGTGAGTTTCGCTCGAGGCGCTCGGGGGACTACTACCCTACCACGCGCGCCAAGCAATTGTCCCCCGAGCGCCTCGTGTCCTGCTCTCTCTCGTGCCCTGATTAGAAATATAAATTTCCATCCGGAACTACTAGATCTCGAATTTTTCAAAAAGTTCCAAAATGCACTTTTTCACTCCAACCCCTGCCATTCGGCCATTGTGTATCCGATCGGGATAAAACCTTTACCATTCGAACGGGAAGGAAATTTCCTAAAAAATATGTCTTTGGTTTTTCGAAATCTGTCATACTTTCACAGATATGTAAAAAAATTCAAGTGTAGCACTTCAATTGGACGTTACTGTATATCGAGCTTCGTAAGTCGAGCCTTATAGTCAAGTGCGCGCGTACTCGGCTAATTTCCAAAGTCTCTTTTCCTAAAAACGAAGCCTCGCACAGAACAAGTTTGTTTTCCAATTAAGATTTATTAACCTACGAAGAATCACCTTGCTTTTGTTTGTACCGCGATTGTCGTCCCACCCTGTATAAGTATTTTGATTGATTTTCATAAACATAGAAACTCTCCTTCGTCCTTTTGGCCAGTAGTCATGGATATCCGTTAGTATGTAAGTGAAAGGGGATAGTAATAACAAGGGCTTAAAGAAGCGAAGTAAGAGAATGAACGGATATTGTCGAACCAGGTGTAGAAGAGGCGTCATCAGCTGCGGGGTTTGGTGACGATGAGTCGTGTCAAGATTTCTATAGTAACGCGTGTGTATATACATATATGTAGACGTCCCTGCACATGAATAGGGTAATTTTCCAATGCATGCTCGGCTGACCACACGAGGAGGCGCCTTCGGGAATCCGCGAACGATAAACGCTTCTTGACATATAGCCCAATACAACATGTTTAATGAGCACGTCTCGGTGGTTCAGCATTACTCCCATGGCCTGGGGTGTATTTATAAGGGCGCAGGCGGTGCAGAATCACCGGCACAAGTCTTACGTTCATCCACCAAGCAACCAAGGATCCCAAGGAAATACATTGAAAATGGTGAGTACCACTTAGAGGACGTAACCGTAACGAAAGCGTCGTGACGTCGACGTCAAGAAACAATGACGTATTTGAGAGGACACTTTTTCGTATCTTCTTTCGAGTGTGAATCTTTTATTTGAACTTTATTCTTCCATTAAGTTTATTCTTTATTGGAAAAAGCAGAGTAGATAGACGGATGAAAATAAAGAATGTCAAGCGAAAAAAAAATCCTCAAGGGCCAATAATACACGGACAGCGTGCAAGGGTGATATCTATCGAAGCGATAAATCATTCCGACCACTCGTGGAGATTATTATAATGACTGCCGCGCGTTATCGGTTGTCGGACTACGAAAATAAGTTGGCGCCGGTTTATAATGTATGCGAGATGCACCATGGGAAATAAGGGCAGTTGTCGCGAGCAAAGGGCGAACTTCAAAGCACGTAATAGATTTCGACACGGCGAGAGCGGCACGTGCTTCGCTCTTGTAATATTGTAAATATGCCTGCAGTCCTTGTTCGTCTTTTTGGACTCGTCTTTTATTACGCGTCGACACGTGTCTTCGTTACTCCCCGTGACTTTTGCTCCAGTTCCACGAATTACAAGCGACGTCGATGATTCTTGATTCGACATCATTAACATTCTACAGTGCGTTCGCGTAACTTAGCAGACGAAAAGGATTTTGCAAGATGGCGCACGTCCTTCTCAGCTATCACCTCTGGTCGCTAGGAAGTTGCCAAGTAAAAGACGTCTATTCACATCGAGCAACGCTTGCTTGTTAAACTGAACGTAAAGTAACAACTGTATAGGTACTTATGAGCCTTCGGCTGAAAAGGCTGAAGCGTAATAAACGTAAAGTTCTAAACTGTTGCCGAATGATAAAATCGTGAAACGTTAAAATGAAATAGTGCACGATGTTGGGGCAAGGAAAGGTTTTAATGGCACAGAAGAGATTGGCCAATTCACCAGAAATCGTTAATCCACCCGCGTGCAGTGACCGTAGTAGAAGCAAAAGATCCTGAAGTAAGATTCTTTGATTCGAGAAGATGCTAGACGAAGATTACTGAGAAAGAAGTAGAGAGAGAAGGACATAACCTATAAAGTGACGTTAATGTTGCATCGCTTGTTGTGCGGTATACTGTCATGTTGTGGCGCTATTAGTATGACGTAGCTCAGTCAGAATGCGAGCAAGCTGTATTAAATCGTGTTAATAATAACGAAGTCTCTATCAGGGCTGCCAATAGAACTAGGACGCGACGTTCTCGCCTTCTCTTATGAATGTTATATTTTCTTTTATACGCGTCCTCTCTCTCCCTCTCTCTCTCTCTCTTTGTTCATATCTTCGCGTCGTTCTAAGCATATCTCAACATTTTACTATACCAGACTCACTCTTAAACAAAGCAAGAACATCAAGACTCGCAAAGTCCTGCATATAAACTGTATGCAATACTACCAACTGTGACATACAACGATTTGGAAAAGATTCTGAGGTGTAAAATGAATCAAGAAAATAATATCACTATGGACAATAGAAATTAAAAGATAAACACAAGGACCGAAAAGTAAGGGCATGGCGTTCGAACCAGTGAAACCTGCAGTGCATATCGAGTGTGATGTTGAGGAATAAGAGAGTAAGACGGAAGTGCAAAGCGAATAGGAGAAGAGTGCTAGGTATAGACTGTCAGTCAGTCAGTCAGTCAGGCAGGCAGGCAGGCAGGCAGCAGGCAGACAAACAGACAGACAGACAGACAGGCAGTAAGTGGCAGGCTGGCAGTAAGAATCGGGATCAGTCGGGATGAGAGCGTGTCCGTGGCTCTCTCGTTGTCGGCCTAGCTCGCATCGCAACCAGTGTGTCGGACGCGTCGTGTTTCGAGGAGAGAATAAAGAACGATTGGTCAAATTAAACAGTCTACGTTCGATTTTTATTGATTGACCCTTGAGCTCTGGAACGTCACTTAAAGCATCGGCCAACGGTTAAATCGCGCAACGTCCAAGCACCCGTTTAATTGACTGTCCAACCGTTGGCAGCTTATTTTTCTATATATCGAATTCTAATGAACTCTGTAAGCTTTGTTGGGATTTATTGAACTGACGATAAGAAAGAAGAATATATATCTAAAGGTATTGATAAACTGCGCTCACTTGCGCGGACACTTAACGTTTCTGTATGATTATCCGCCGCGTGTGTCACGTAATACATTGACTGTCAAGGAAAGAAAAAGCAAAGGGTAGAAAATAATATATATAATAATAACAACGACAACGTTGCTCGTAACAATAAAAAGAGAGGCTGATAAAAAAAATACTTCCGTATTCTCTACACGTGGGGTCTTAAAAGTGTTCGACAGTTAAAAGAGGAGTCAAGCTTAACGCAACTGAAAATACATATATACACAAGGACGTAGTCCTGAAGGATTCGAAGGATAAATGTATCCAAGGCATACGGAAGTCTCGATCCTGTGGAAAAGTCAGCTGAGCCACCACGAGTCTCTCATCCTCCTTCTTCTCCTCTATCTACGAAGTATTTCATGATCTGTGAACACGATTGGCTAGACGAGCAATTAATCAAGTGCCCAACTGTGATACACCAAGTGATAATCGTTCGTGAATGCGTTTTACCTCGATATACTAAGTAAGTCCTTGAAGAATAATGATAATAAGAACATGAGAATTGATAAATGCGCAATCATTAACAGTAATGCATATATGTATAGTTAGCGAATCGTCCTGGAAACGCAATTCGCGAGTAATCCTTAGGAATTCTTCTAAGCTTCCACTCTTAAATTTCGTGCCATTTTTTAAAATAATCTCGAGTGCTTGCTCTCTCAGCAATTTGTTTTAATAAGCAAAATTCTTTTCTGCATTCTCAGACACCAGGATACTCCCAGGCACGGCACGAGAGTTCCAGAAACGTTTGTAGGACGTCTACGGAGGACTTGCGACATCCGCTAGACGTCTTACGGACGCCTGTGGAACTTTTTTTTCCCCGTATGGCTCGTGATCTTTGCAACCTGTAAATCATTGCGCTTGTTAAAACAGCGCGAGTGTGCGAGCACTAGACGCAACCTAAATATAGTACATCTAGCATGACGGCACATTCTGAGAAGTAATTGAATGATTCGCGAAACATTGCCAGCTGATTTCGCCTCGTATACGTGACATTGATACGGATGGGCATTTCGTGTGCATTTCGCATTTCGCACGGTCGCTATAGAAGCATAAAAACAAGAAAAAAAAATTTTGTGAAATTACGTTAAACTTTTAATTACAACGAGAAAGAAAAGATTTCGTACAGTACATCGGAATGCGGGAAGAATCGAAAAGGAAAAGAATTGTTAACCTACGACAATCGAGTGCAGCAATACTTACAAGTGCATTGTGATAAATGACATATTATATGTAATTTAACAATTGATTAATTAAGGCCAAATCAGGTACGGACTGAAATACACGTGTCCCCCACTGTGTAAACTAAACTCTATTATCGTCGTTGGCTTCTCGATGGAAATGGCTGTAAAAAAGGAAGCGTTGCCGGTTTTCAAAGAAATTTTTGTTATAATAACGTGGCTGGTTACGACGAGTAGTAAACGAGTTTTCTGAACCTCCGTACATCGATTTAGCTTATCGGGAAAGTTGATCACCCTTGGTGAGAGTAAAGCGAGACGCCTCTAGTATCTTTCCAAGTGTCGTTTGTTGCTCCTATCTCTGTCCGATAATTCCCGTTGGTGTCGTTAAACGACAGATTTCATGCAACCGAGTAATTTACAAGCGTTTATTCCTCCTCCAGAAAGGAGACGGTGGGGAAAACTATTAGAAGCCATACAAACTCACACCCTCCCGGCATCAATAACCTAGTATTAAGTGTCAGGCGTATCAAATAACCTTAAAATAGGAACCCCTCGGCAACAGTGTAATAAGAAAGTAAACAATCAACTCACTCAACAATCACAATGAACAATTTGTTCCTCTCTTCGACAACTGAGGTTTCTTCTTGTATGATAGACACACTGCAGACTCAGTCATAACAACACTGTAACAAATGCATTCGAAATACATTACATTAATATATATATATACAGAGTGTCCGAAAATTCCCGTGTCACATACCGCTTTAATCGTGATGAAATTTCGAAGAAAACGGTACTTGCAAAATTGTAATTTTTCAATTGTTTTTCGAGAAAATTGCAATTAAATATTGAAAATTTTCGATTTCCAATGATTATCACAATTTCTGTATTCCCCCACTCGCTAAGTACATCGGTCGAATTAGGCAGAGCATGTTTCTTTTTCCCTGTCTTTTGTCGTGTTTTCGTACGATTTCTTTGGCTGTAGCAGGCACTCTTGCCTTATTCGACCGATGTACTTAGCTAGTGGTGGAACTTGTTGATACTCATTGGGGAAAATACTCCGCCAATCCGACGTCTCACTGATTTTTGTCACCATCTAACGGTCTTGGTTAAAGATGTCAATTTTGCAAGTACCATTTTTTTTTCAGAATTTCATCGCGATCGCAGCGATATGTCTCTGACACGGGACTCTTCGGACGCCCTGTATATCAGTTATAATTACAGCGTCATTGTCAATATTTGTTCAGTTCCTCAACAATTATTACCAGGCGCAACAAGCGCACCATGGCTGTTGACTAGAGTAATCAAAACAAAAACAACCACTCCTCTCTTTCTTTCTCTCTGGATCATTAACTGTAACAAATATCAGTTGGCCTATCCTCTATCAATCTATAACGTCCGTGGTATGTCCACGTGAAAGGACATGCACTTAAATGCTATCACGTTATTGTCGTATTGAGTCGCGGAGTGGTGCCCTATTTGAATGAAAGCAACGACGACTAGAATAGAACCGTCACGCGAACAAAGGTCACTCATATAGACAAAGCACAGGCGTCTTCTCTGTTGACGCCGGCCTGAAGGAAAATGTGCACTACAATTTATATTTAAACGGAAGATATCTAAAAATAGTTACATCCAGCGCGAGACGTGCATCACCACCGGGATTCACGAGTAGCGGTTGTAATTGCCGAGCAACACGCGACCAATACGCTACTGAGGATCGTTTCTGATGCCCCACCCCCGTACACTCTCACCTCGCACCGTCGCTACGGGAACCCCACTACCGTATTCGTTGCTTTACACTATTCATTCCTCGTTGCATATGTGCGGACACAAACATTTGCTTTCAATAAAGCTTTTGCGCAACGGCCAAACAAAGTCTTAAAAATTTTTCCACGTGGAGTTACTCTCTTGATGTAGGGTTATAGCAGCAGCAGTCTCCCATTCCCATAACCTCTTTATTATCAATGATATGCTGGACGCTACTATATAGACATTTGTTGTGTTATTACTTTCGTTCTTGGATAGCTAATTATAGCGACTAATTGCGTGATAATTATTTGGGGTCTTCAATATCTTTGGGAAGTTTATTGGTTTGATCCGTGGTTTTAAAGGCGGTGATAAATGTACATATTTGCTTGAGTTATCGTAACGGTGTCGAATAATAAATAGAAACTTGTTGAGAAAACATCCTGGGGTCGAGAGGAAAAGAAATGGAATGAGAGTACAGGAAAAAGTAATCAGTGGGGGGGAAGTTGATAAAAGTTCAGAAATAATCATAGAGTAATATTTTAATTGAATGCCGTGGGGTTGATGACGAGTTATGGGTGGGTTTCATGATTCTTTCAATTTGAATTTTGGTCTTCCTTCCGTCTCCTTTATCTTTATTCTTAGATTTATGTTTTGATTGATCTTATATTTGTGCTGTGGATTGATGCTTTGTCGTATGAGTGTCATCCCCCCTCTCTCTCTCTCTCTCTTTCTCACTCAGAAGTCATTGATATGACAAATCAAAGTATTGATGGCTTTTATTTATACTTTCTATTTAAAGATGTCCATACACCGGTTGAACGTCCTCTTGGCTATGGTGCTCGTCATCGCGATAGTCCTTCCACAAATGGCGAACGGACAGTCAGACGTCTATCAGTATGGCCAAAAGAGAACGTCCATCACTACGAAGTACTGCGGCAAGCATCTTTCAAATGCCCTGCAGTTGCTCTGCAATGGTGTCTATAACTCCATGTTCAAGAAGAGCGGCCAAGGTACCTTGATCAGCATGGATACTCATTTTCAATAGAATATTTGACCGTTTTCGTATTCACATACTAAAGCGACGTAAGTTTACCTGTGTTGTCAATTTTCTTATTTTAATTACAGAAATGGAAATGGATGACTATCCCTACAATTACGACGAGGCCTATCCCCTGAGATCACGTGCCAGTACCAACGCCATGATGGGACGTTTTGCTGGAGTCCGTTTCCGGCGACAGTCCAGGTAATTAAATGGAAAGGCAATTAGACTTTTGAATAAGGAAAAGAAAAAATGTGTTCACTTGAATTTTAATAGCTTTCTCTTTTTATTTGTCTATGGCATTCTATTTTACTCATTAATATGATTTACGGCGTTTGTCGCAGGGGAGTCCACGATGAGTGCTGCGTCAAGTCTTGCTCCGTGAGCGAATTGACCAGCTACTGCGGCCGCTAAGATGGAAACACGAAACTCGCCAGTCCTGTCCGTCCTTGCTTGGGATTTCGTTTAGAATCTCACGGAAGTATTTGGATTTCCGGTCTTGTCATCTCATGCTCCACGGGGAATCCCCCATTAGAAGGGATGCACGGACACGGACCAACATGACGGCAAGAGACGGCAAAGAATTCGATCCTGTGAGAAACCGAAAACAAAAGACGCAATTGCTCTACTTCTTTCTAATAATAACTCCCTATCTTCTATCTTCCAACCTGAAATTCATGACCCTCCCTCCCTCCGCCTAATTTATTCATTGGTATCATCATTTATATATTCGTTTTTATCATCTCTCACTAAAAGTCATCCTTAAACTTATAATTCTTTCTTCGCGCCTTATCATGTTGTTATTCTTTTTTTTCTTTTTCATTGTTTTACCTTAGTTTTTTTATTTTACTTTATTCTATCTCTCTGTTCTTGTCTGTATATGAAATAAAGAACGAAAGATAAAGACATTCCATGCCTTCTCCACGACACTGTAGTACTACTTTATTATGATATAGATGATATGTGATTTATATAAGATTATGTATTGTATTTCAATTTAGAAATAAAACAGTTGTTCCTGAGAGTTTACTGTGATATTTCCTTAACAAAATCATAATGAAATTTACCAGGCTGGAGGGAAAGGAGGAGGCATGGTACAACCGAGAAGGTGGTGATTCCAAATGTAAATCGAAATTGCAGAATTAATTTTTTCTTTACGAGACTTTCTTACTTGAATAATACTCGACTTAAAAGATCTCGTTAAAAGCACTATTTTCTTTTAAATTCGTATCAATGTCAGGACTTAAGGTGGTTTTAAGTCCACCTTACAAAATTTTTGTGACATATTCAACAATACGTAAATTAATTGAATACATTGTTTTCGAGATTGGAATTTTGATTGAATTATTTCAACCCTTAACTACACAAGTCTGATTTTAGACACATACTTTACATGACGAAGTCTGTGAGACCTCAATCTGTGAACCTGGATTATGAGGCCATTAGAACGAATAGAATAGCTCAAATGTAGAGCTTTACATCGCTCTGCTTTTAGTTTAAACAAATTTAATGACCAAGTATCAAATAATAATTATGTAGTAGGCTTTTTTTTAATTCGTTGAAAATTTATCTACAGACTAATTCGGGAGAAAGGCGGGCTAAACATAAAATTGGTGAGATTTTTGAGACCGTACGTGTGTAGTTAAGGGTTAAGCCACCTTAAGTCGTAATACTGCATACAAATTTCGAAGAAAATAGTGCCCCTAGCGAGACCCTTTAAGTCGAGTATTAGTCAAGTGCACGTGTATCCGATGGATTTTTAAATTCGATTTTCTTAAAAATGAAATCTCATAAATAAAGTTTATTCTGCAATTTCGATTTACGTTTCCATGAGGAATCACGTCCTTCTCGATTGTACCATGATTTCCGCTCCACCCTGTAAAAGTTTAAAAAGCAGACTCTTAATTAGCATTTGTGTGTTACTCAAGTGAATGTATCGTATAAAATAAAAGAAAAGTCCAGAAACATTGAAAATTATGGTCATCAAAAGAGAGTTGTGGAATCGCGATATTGAAAAATGGGGGATTATCAGTATAAAGAGGAAGATGAAAGTATTATAAATAATATGACAGACATGGATTTGGAATTTCTTCAATTCAATGAATTGACAACGGACCTCAGAAATTTATTGGTATAATAATTGAGTCTTGATATTTTTTATTATTTAATTTCTTATGAAAAATATAATATTTATGAAAATTACTTCAGCATGAAGTGACAAGTGAGTCTGATTCGGAGAAAATAACTGAGGTAAAACTGAGAGTGGTGACAAAATCTGCAGGACTTCACAGGCTTTCTTATTATACACCAATTTTGAAAAATTTAATCTTGGACGGAAGCTGCGTAGAATCTTTACGTGATTTAGGATCCTCGCTGCATATTCTCGAGACGCTGAGTGTAACCAAGTAATAAGATTAAGACGGCTGTTAATTAATTTAAGATGGAGATAGTATAAAAGTCATGTAACGATCGCGATATTTAAACAAACATTTCATGAATCAAGGTTAAGTCTCTTATCAGGTGTAACCTTAAAAATTTGGATGGTATTTTGGGCTTTCGTAATTTACAATGTCTATTGGCACGTGATAACTTTATAACCGACCCGTCGCCATGTTCGGGAATTGAAAATTTGAAGAAACTTGATTTGGGTAATAATGGAATCGAGGATATAAGGAATTTCCTCTTTCTGAGAGCCTGCACGAAACTCGAAGATCTATTTCTTGAAGGGAACAACCTATTGGATTACAAAGAATTGATCAAGGTACTCGTTATTGATTATTACTGCAATTGAAAACTTTCAACCAATCAACACTTTGCTTAAAGGTTTTTCTACCACAAGTTCAAATACTCGATGGTCAACAATTCACTGATTCTGTCAGGAATAATTGGTAATTAAACAAATTTATTAGTCTAACAAAGAATATTAATAAAAATTCCAACTGTCAGGTCGTTAGAAGGAAATCAACTTACCAGCAATTTGTGCACTTTCACTCAGGAAGTACCCAAAGACTCGTCGATAAACTTTCAGGAGGTTAGTGGCAAGGAGGACCTTGATGGAGTTCAGGAAAAGAAGTTGGGTTTTGGAAAAGTTATATGTGGAAATTTAGCGACATCTTTACGATCTAAGTCGAGGGAGCAGATCCTAGAAGGGAAGGCAAATAAATAAAATAAAAATTTACTATAAATGGCTGATTGACAGATCGAGCAATTGCAATACAATCGTACTGATATTAATTGCAATATATCCAGTGAAGATGGGATGAGCAGCTCGTGATAGTTTCTTGTTAGACACACTGTATGTAAAAGATATAGTGGGGATAATATTAAAGGAGGCCGAATGATATATGACTTTTCCTTCTCTAAATTGAGTAACGACTCTTCTAACGCGTCACCTTAATATTTGACCTGCAACCTACGTGATTTTCGGGCCCATTACAAAGCATCGCACCACCTTCTAATGCACTGACATATTGAATTGATACCGATGAATCCAAAGCACGATTCCCTTAGCTCTATTCTGGTCTTAAAAGTTAATTTTGTTGTTCCTTCATGTCGCGTGTCAGTCACGAGGCGTTCGTGCTACTGCACCATACTGTAGCAATCTTGTCTTATATGTTAAAATCGAAGATAGATGTCGCACGAACTTGCAAATTTACGCTAACAAACCATGCTTAATTACACAAAATGAAACAAAATATACTTTATTTACAGGCATATGTACAATTAAAAAAAAACATGTTGACACACTAATTCATTTTTTGGAATTCAACAGGTCCGGTCTGTACATACAGAATTAGTAGGATTATTGCCCATAAAAAGGTTATAAAAATACAGACATTCGAACAAAATTTAAGAAAATTATCGTACGTTCGGAATATAACAAGTAGAGTTGGATGATTCAACAAGCACACAAAGATAGGCCAGTGCAGGGTCCATGCCAATGCACTGGTTTTTTTTTTTTTTGAATGAGCTAGTAATGGCCTAATTATATTTCTTAAACGTGCTATGGAGAATTTTGTAGATAGATTTATAATGACTGTTTACAACCTAAGATTATTATTGAACTTATACTTTGGGAAACTTGATTTTATTTTATATAATACTCTATCTATTTATTAAAATGTCACTGTTTGCACTCCGACATTTTGTACAATATGTGGAAATATGAATTAATCATCTTTTGAGGATAACCGAGATGCAGGGTGGACACTGCTATTATTTTCCGTGATGCTTGGATGTACGCCAAGGTTTGGATCTACTGAACAGCCTCCAAAGGCAAACATCTTTGGAATATCCTGTCCATAATATACCTTAGCATTCTGCATTAATGATTCATATTTTTTAAGTTCTATATATTCCTTTGAGAATAGAGCTTTGTTAGCTTCAGCTTGTTTTTTGAGTTGATAATATTCGCCTTCGGCGTGACTCTTTTGTCTTGCTAAAGACATCTCATCTTCGATTGCTGCCATCCGTTGTAAGGATTCTTTCTCCATAATTTTTTGATTGTATTGAATTTGTGCAACTTGCGCCTCTTTTTCTGCTTCAATAATAGCTTTTTTTCTATCAGTCTCAGCATCTTTTTCTACGACCTTTTGGTGCTGCACAGAAATTAATAGTTTGGTCTTTTCTGCTTCCCTGTATATGTAAAATTAAAAAAATTAATATTTCAGCAATAAAAAATAAAGTGCATTCATATACTTACATTAACTCATAATTTTTCCGAATAGTTTCTGGTATTTTTGGCTTTGTTACTCGAACCGCCTGTATATTCAGGCCAGGTGCTAATTCATTCAGATCTTTTTGTAACGCTGTCTTTAAATTTTCATCTATCTGATCAAATAAATCTATATACACTTCATGTAAGGTATGCACAGAGCAAAATTGATTTAGCTCATGATGAACCTTATTGAAAATTAATGTCCTATCATAATCTGCTGTAAAATTTTTGACCATGTTGTACACTGCAAAAACAAATAATTATCAATATCAAGTGTCCGATCTAAATAAGTATAATATATTCCCTTACCGCTATTGGCATCCAGTATATTTACAACTTCTATACGATCGAAATATATCATGACACCTCCACTAGTACCACATGGAACATTTTTAACTTCATCAGTTTGTAAAGTCACTTGCACAGAACGATATGAAGTTAAAAGTGGTATCATCATATGAAAACCTGGATTGCTAACATACGGTAGCAATGCACCACCCTGAAAATTCAATCACACATTACTCAAGTGTGCAATAAAATATATTCATGTAATTTAACACTGATTGACTCACTCGAAAATAAACTCCGACATGACCCTCTTCAATGCGATGCAAAGAAAAATTGAAGACAATACCTAAACAAATCAGAAAACCTAACCCAAAGATACTCTGATCAACCATTTCTAATTTTAATTCCTGAAACAATAGTCTAAGGCAATATATACCCTTAAATTATTTTTCCTTTATACAAGAAAAAGGTTAGGTTAGGTATCAATTGTAACATTGAGTATTTTTGTTCTGAGCCCAGAAAATAATCTTTTACACTTCCGTAAATATTCACCGTATCACAGTTTATATTTAATAAAAGAAGTCCACGAATTCAATTCTAACGAATTATATTGCTTAAGATCTAACTAGTTGCTATCGTCAATATACATCCGACAAAGTGTCGTGTCAATTGTCGACCCATATAAATGATTTCATAAACGAGACTATGCCTTGTCCGCTAAAAAAAGATTACAATTGGAATATTATAAACTGCATTCGAATTTTCGGGAATTTTAAAAAATCGGTATTTAGTAATATTTATAACATAATAATATATTGGAGGGTACCACTGCTTAAGGGCCGAGACTATATTTATTGAGTCGGGTCAGAGCATAAATGTATTATAGAAACAGGAATTGGATTTGTTTCCTTATTATTTGTCAACTTTCTAAAATTTATTTAAACTCAAAAATAACATAACTCATATATAAAAGTCATAAAGTAAAGATTTCTTGGACGTATATGCATTTATAATTTAATAAAGGATATACATATAATAATATCTATGAATCAATCCTCAAGTACCATCTTCTTCTTAGTTTCCGTCAGACGCAGTATCTTCGCGTCAGCAATACTTTCCATAAGCGACTTTAATTCCTGAAGCGCGCACTTCGCTAGACGTCCTTCAGGAGTAGCAATGGGATCCAGAAGAAGTATCTTCAGTGCAGCTCTGAGAATATCAGCAGCTTCCTCAAGCCGTGAGACAAGTTCATCCGCCGCGATCTCTTTGGAAACGTATGCAAGATTTGCCATGATTACCAAAGGAAGATGTTTTTCATATAAGGTAATACCTAAGCGATTAAATAAACTTATGGATACATATTGTTTAATCCTTAGCTAGAAGCGTAGAAGAAGAAAAACGCATACCCTTCAACCTTGATATGCCCGGTTCCACGATGTCCAAAACGTTCAAAACTTCATTACACAAATTTACCGCTTTCTGAAGTATTTCAGAATCCAGATCCATGATGCGTATGTATCTCTTATATGCAGCTAATAACCTCTGTTTCAGAATCAGCATCAGGTAGTGATTAGTGTGAAGAGACCTTGACAACTTTGACAATAAGTTTTCGGTTTCCTGTGAACAATACATGCATAAATATCATGTACATTCATTATCAATTATTTTCCGTTTTTTTAAGGGTCGTCAGTTGTCAACCTTGAGATCCTCTGGATCAGTATCATCCACGAGTGATCTTGCAATGTCCAAAGTGTACTTGATCATGTTGCCATGAAATTGTTTTTGGCAATGACAGCACTTCCACGAACTTCTACGAGAATAAGGATCGGTAGTCAATGGATTTTTTATTACAACAAAACCTTCTTTACAACGTGGACATAAAAGTGAACTCAGATTCGAGCTATCTTCGCGCGGATCTTTACAGACTGTGCATTCACATTCGAAGTATTTTCCATGTCGTAGATGTTCCCTTCTCTCTGCTGAACCCTGAGGCACGAATTGGAAAAAAAAGTAATAAAAATTTTGAATGGTTGTAATAATTTTGTTTCTTTATTATATACATTCCTAACGTTGCTCACCAGGAGACATGACGTGTAATTGAAGAAAATTGCGTCGTCCTTATTAATTGGAACACTGGCATAAATAGTCATCAGAAAATTTTCGTCTATGGTGACATGAGTGTTGGCTTTGCAACTATGAGCCATAAGTGCAGCCTCCACGTAGAGGCCACGTAGAAGTCTTGTGGAGCGTATTGCATCCCCTGGGGAACGAACCTCGAAACTGTTTACATCCAAAATGCCCGAAAGAAATTGTAGAAATTCGGTAGGATCTTCCACGTTTTCTGGATGTAATTTGTACTCTTCGAATGCCTGGTTTTAGAATTTTAAATATTGATTTTCCAATCGGTTATGGTGTTTCAAGATATATATATTATAACCCGGTGGAGGGGTTATTTTTCAAGGGACAATCCGGGAATAATGCGGGCGTCTGGGCCGGGATTCGAACCCGGGACCTTTCGATTACCGGTCGACTGCTCTGATCACTGAACTACGCCAGTCGCTTACCACATCCCTCCCGAATCGTCCCCACTAACGAAAATTCATTTTCGTTACAATATATACACACACATATATGTGTATAATCATGTGCACTTACGTTTATCACTTGCATTTCTATACTCATCCAGACGTTAGTACCGCGTCTTTTGTCTATGTGACTTTCCATGTTCTTTATTCTGGTCCATGTTTCATTATCCTTCAACTTTATCAGCCATAGCCTCAGTGGTAGTAAAATTTGCAAAATTTGCGGCACAGCTTTTGATGTTACATTTTTTCCGCTTCGAAAAAGATTGCATTCATCCGTTGTGTGATGCATGAATATTTTCTAGCGTGCAATATATTCAGATATGTAATCGATAAGAAAATAGATTGAAAATAATTAATACTTACTTCGCACGCTGGACCGCATAACGGTACGACCTTACATTTCGAGCAATAATATTGCATTGGAGAGTTTTGAATGGTTCTCATACAGGCGAAACAAAAGTTTTGATTTTCATAAATTGACGGCCCAACAGCTGCCGGTTCCTCGCGAAGTATTATATCACCGGCGGCTAACGGTTTGGTAGCTACCATGTATCTAATATTGATAAGAAATTCCATTTAATATTATATATTGCACATTTAGTTTTTGAAAATTTTACCTTCCAAACTTTTCGGAATATCCAATTTTGTACTTCGCCGTGGAAGTAACGGTCCTCTCTGTACTCAGACATTTTGAGATTCCTATTGACGTATCCATTTTTCAAACTACTTTAAGAATAAATAATCCTAACGTTATTTTGATGAAAAAGTGTTACAAACTTTTATTATAACAATGAGTTATCACCAGTTTTTACACATCTTAGTCACCAATAGTGTTTAGTGCATGGTAACTTCTAGTATACTGGTACTAAACAGTAACTTGCAGATTGTATTTTTAGACATTGACTTGAATTGCCAAGAACCTCGGTATTCTACTTAGATCCATTAGAGTTTATAATTAGAGTCCGTCGTTGACCTATCATAGAATACCTCAAGCAATCAGAAATAACTTCTCCTGTCTGATGTGAGCTTGATGGATAGCTTTATGTTGGAAAGGCAATGTCAAAATGAGAAAGATGTTTTTTTTTTTCATAAATTTCTCAAAACAATTTATAAACATTTAATATTTTTAAACACCATAGAAAATCGTAACTGTTACAGTATATCGTAATTTTATTATTCCACTGCACAACATTGTATATCTTATACCCCACTGTTATTTATTGTTAGATTAGGTTTCCAAATTTTCAATTGATTGTTCCAATTCAACAAGGGCCTGAGACGCTGCTACTCCTATTTTCCCTTCAGACGTTTCTGGTGGTTCCAGACATAAAATATTTGCTGCTTCTTTTAGGATACTGGCGGCTTCTATCATTTTTGATTTGAGTCCGGCGTTATCGATGGTTCCCGAATTCCAAAGGTTTTTAGCCAAGAATAATAATGGCGCGTGTAATTCGTAAAGGGTCATTCCTACGGGATGCAATAATGAATACGTTAATAATAAATCATTAAATGCTGCAGTGGAAAGTGAAATAATCAAAATTATTTAACATGTAATATTACCTCTTATACGTGAATATCCCGGCTCAATGACGTCCAAGACTTGTAACAATATTCGACACATGTCGACCTTATGTTCAAGAACAACATCCGGTAAATCATCCAGTAAATATTCATCAACGCGACCATACATTTGGGTCAATGAATGTCTGGAAAAAAAATTATATCGTTCTGTACTCCATTAAAGATTTACACGAATTAACAATTTTTCCAAAAAAATTCATACCTTAGTATAGTGAGGAAGGCATGGCGTGGATGTAGAACCGAACGATATTTCTTTATCACATTTTCCCTTTCCTGAATAGCATCTGCGCCATCCGCGCCGGAAATCATCTCGACATTTTCAACGTGGTTGTGAATGATTTCAAAGACTTTTCGAACAGCTTGACCGCTAGTTGAAAATTCACAGTGAGTACACTTCCACATGCACTCCGGATCTGTAAAATAGTAAAGAAACTTCAAACTTAAAACTGTCAAAATAAAAAACAAAAATAATAATAGAGACAACATTAAATTCACCTAGAGAATCCAATGGCAGAACAAGACCGTTGTCACATTTGTTGCACTTCAAGGAGGACATATGAGTTCCAAGTTCTGTCGGATCCGAACACCTGGCGCACGCGCATGCAAAATGTTTACCCTGAAGAAGATACTCTCTGCGTATCATCGTTGGAAGCAATGAGTGCGTATAGCTTCCATATAACTCTCCACCTTTAGGAATATCGACAGTAGTCCTTAGTCGCAGTCTGTATAATGATCGGTAGAACAAAATTAATTGTTTATAATTAAATGAAATTGTACCAAGCGACCAAAATTCTTACCTGTAACTGTCTGGCAATATACTGTGGCTTGTATTTGACACACAACAATGATTCATCATGGCGGTCTTCGGATATAGTGCTCTTGCTACACATCCGGTAGGAGTCCGAACCTCGTGAGCATTTATTTCCAAAATTCCACAAGCCATCTGTATATCATCCTCTGAAAATCTATTAATAACAATACTATATGTAGGATATGTAACACAACAATCTAGATTGATGCAATACGTTCTATATTATACCTCTCAAGTTTCAAACGCTTTCTCAAATATTCGACAATGTTAATGTGATCCTTCTGCCATTGTGGCTGCTTGATTCTTTGCTTCGTATGTGTCTCCATGGATTTGACTTCAGCCCACTTTACTGGATCTTTTTCTGATGCTAGTAGTAATCTTAATGGCGTTATACACTCCAGTTGCGGTATACCATTCTCATGATTGCCTTCTAGAATATCTTTGACATTGAACTTTTCTCCAACAGCGGCAAATATCTGCAAATACAAATGGACCAATAATCCTTGTGAGTCTGATTGAATTTTTAAAAATTAAATGTAGTTATTATCTAATGTGACTGTACCTCGCATTCGTAATCCTTATGTTGTGATAGATTTTCACAGTTTGGTCCACAAACTGGCCAGCTGCACTTTGAACAAAGTGTATTGTTGCCCTCTGTCTCTGGCCATGGAGAATAACAGGAAATGCATAATGGATAGCTAGACGCTTTCGGTCCAACCACGAATGGTAGTTCACTTAAAATTTCTTCTCCTGCTTTCAGATCCTTTGCGGCGACCATATATCTGCAATGAGAACAATTATTTTTAGTTTCGACGAATACGTTCCTTTTTTCTCCCGTTGTTCATTTTTCACGTGTGTCAAGATTATATAATTCGATTATGTGCAGAATTTCTAGGAATTTTTTATTAATAATATAATTTAGCACATTACCGTCCAACTTTTTCATTTTCAAGAATATTGTAAGGCACGTCCGGGCTTGTTAGGATTTCCTGGAATTTTATTGAAACCGGATTTTATAGATTTATTATATTGTCCTTTAAGCGGAAACTGTTTCATATTTTTTGCGTTGTTACTCACTGTTGAACCTTCCGTCATTCTCGTTAAATGAAAAATTCGGTTTTAACAAGTTTTTAATTATTCTTAGTGGATATCAAATGTAGGCACAACAATCTCCAGTGCGTCTACTACTTCAACTGAACTAAAAGTATCTGACATCAGTCTTTTATATGTTGTATGTATTTAATATTGTCAAAAATACTAGCGAATGGGCTGCCAAACGTAACTTCTGGATACATCTATCACATTCACCGTGCGTTATAATGCTGTAAGTTCTATATTCTCTCAAGTCAAGAAGACCAATTGGTCGTGTATTTTTGGCTACTCAACCGTACAGAAGCGTCTAGAAGTTTTATTAAAAGCATTAAGAAGTCAAAAAACAACAATAAAATAGTAGAGCAGTTGGTACAGTCGAGTGTAGAATGAAGTAAAGAAACACAATTCACTTTTAAAAGTTAACTTTGTTAGAAAAATATAGTATATTTTATGGTGTTGAATAAAATAAGCGGAGATCCTTCTTTTTATGCATGTGACAAGCAGGAAAACTTGTGTTCTTTAAATTATCATAAATCCTTTAATAACTATTCTTCCGATATCAGAACAAAGAACAAACTTGTTCGTATCTTAATAATAATTAACCAAGCATACGGTAAGATTTTGTAATATATAAAAAGGATTTGTTTTAAAGTACAGTAGAAAGTGTTTAATGTTCCCGCAATTCGTATGGATGGTGGTCAGATGAGGTACGGAAATCCGCGGAAAACCACGCCTACCATGGCTGTCTACTTCGAGATTAATTGATGAGAAAAATGGACATTCTCTTGAACAACTATTTTAAATAAATCTAAAATAATACTAGAATTTTTGTTTTGCCATGTTTCCAATATAGCATAATATTTGACGATAATCAATTAGGCCGGTATATCCCTCGTAAAAAAAAATTGTGAAATTCTCATGATGTCGAGTGTTTGCGCATGCGTATTACCTACTATTTCTTGCGCACTAGTCTACCTCCTCGAAGCAGTTGGTTAGTAAGGCTTGATAATTTTAAGCAGTACACCGATCTAAGTTAAAATTGTAAGTAATCATTGAATATTATTTCTCTTTGTCACATTTGTTTGAATGTGTTTGACGCATGCATCATCGCAATGCTGACGAACTTCATGTTAAAATGGCTTTTTTACAAGCCGGTCTGGGTTAGGGATATCGATGTCGTCTGCCGTTGTACGACTATCATCTAGTTAACTGAGTGGATACCAATTTTTATAAGAAAATCTTACATTTTAATTTACCCATTGTTTTCTCTTGTCCGCTTTTGTTCTCTTGATCTTCCTGATTTTGACCTACTTTTATTAGGTTAGGAATTAGGTCTCTATGCCCTTGCTGAAATTGGCAAATGAGAGGCCTTATGTAACAGAACAGGTCAATATCGTTCAGTCGACCGGTACTATGCAAATGATGACAAATTTTCATATGATTATGACAATGCTAGTTAAATAGGTTGAATAATTAGAGTATTTATTAAAAGAATATTTTAATATTTTTATGCCTTTTTTCTTCAATAATTAATGCAATACGATTATTCCAATTTGTATTTTTTTGTTTGGAACTTTTTTTGTGATTGTAATGTAGTCATTCTAGGATAACTATCGATTGATGATAAATATGAATTATTTGGTAACTTTATGGTTGACCTAGTACACTTTTAAATAATAAACTTTATTTGCATGTGAATAAATAATAATTGAACTGTTGTATTATCTGTCTTATCTATGTCATACGAATAATCACTTTATGATCATTTTTATTAGCTTTATTTAAGTTCATTTGTATACGATTTTGTATTGTCTTGTAAATGGAATAAGGTGATACATTGAAAGTTTTATTATATACAGGTCATGGCTCCTCCTGCTTATAATGATCTGGGTAAAAATGCCCGCGACGTTTTTGGCAAGGGATATCATTTTGGTCTCTTGAAATTAGATGTAAAGACTAAGACAGACTCTGGTGTTGAGTTTTCTAGTGGTGGAGTGTCTAATCAGGACACTGGAAAAGTTTTTGGTACTTTAGAGACCAAATACAAAATTAAGGAATATGGCTTGACTTTCGCTGAAAAGTGGAACACAGATAATACTCTGGGAACAGATATAACTATTGCGGACAAGCTTCTTCAAGGACTCACTGTTGGGTACAGCTGTACCTTCTCACCACAGACTGGGTAACTTTCCAAATATATGCATTATTATAATTATTAATGTTAATATTATTACTGCGGCTAGCTGAAAGTGCATATATAGGTACAATAAGTAGTTTGTTGCCAACCTAGATTTAGTTTTTGTTTATTCAGTTGTATAACTTTTGCTTTCAGAAACAAGAGTGGTAAATTAAAAACCACGTACAAACATGATAATGTCTCAGCTAATGCTGATTTTGATTTGAGCTTATCAGCTGGACCACTGATCAATGCCTCTGCCGTGGTTGGATACCAAGGTACGTTCTTTGAATAAAAAGAATATTTAATACTTTATACTTATCTGAGATTCAATTGACTACTATTTCTATTATTTTCATCACTCATCCCTTCAATTTGCAAATAAGTAGTCTTCTATCTGATCCTTCCCCAGCATACTGATTGTCCCTCTTGTTCCCGATAATAAAGGAAATCGTAGAAATGAAATGTAAGCGTTTTGATAATCGAAATGAAATAAAATAAAATACCTTTTAGGTCATGTACTAACTGAAAATCTTTATTTTAATATTTTTATTGTTATCGTTCAGGATGGCTGGCTGGTTATCAAGCCACCTTCGACTCTCAGAGAAGCAAAATTACAAAGAACAATTTCGCACTTGGTTTCACCGCATCGGACTTTGCTCTGCACACTTCAGTGTAAGTTTTCTTATCAAAATAGATCAGACTATATTATTCCTTGAATTGCATAACAGGCAAACACTGTAAAACCTATCATAATCGTAATATTCGGCTATTGACCTTCTATTCCCTTCCAACTATTGTAAACTAAGCAGTTCGCGCATTCTCGTATTCTTTCGTACGGATTCGGCTAATAAGCCGATGGGCTTCAATGTATAATAGCTCATAGGTAGTGAGAGTTCTACTGTACTGAGAAAAGTAATAGAATGCAAATATATAATTCGGCTCATCAGGGATAACGGCCGTGATTTTGGTGGATCTATTTATCACAAGATCAAGCCTGGACTAGAAGGAGCCATTAACTTGGCCTGGAACTCTAGCAACAACGTGACGCAATTTGCTCTGGGATCTAAATACGATCTTGACCAGGATGCCAGCGTCAGGGCCAAAGTGAACTCCCAACTACAAATTGGTTTGGGATACCAACAAAAGCTACGTGAAGGTTAGTAATCCTAGAGATAGGCTCCTATTCTCAGTGACAATATTGTTATTGACAAACAAGATATCTTTTTAAACTATTAATCGTTTATGTTTATGTTGCAGGTGTTACTTTGACACTGTCTACAAATATCGATGGAAAGAACTTCGGGTCAGGTGGCCACAAGATTGGTTTCGCATTAGACCTTGAAGCTTAAATGTCCTTATTCAATTCAAGCATACACTCACATAAGTACATACACAGAGAGAACACGCAACGAGGATTCTAACCTATTCGTAATATTTACCTATAATTCTCATGGCGCAGATACCCATACTGCAATTAAGTGCTTCAGTTCTGAGAACATGATCGCAACCTTATGTAGGGGGATATACGTATCCTTAAAGTGGCTGCTTTGTTAGTATCATAAATCACATGAAGATGAGAAACCTTGTGGTGATTAATTTAGCAGTTATCGTTACAGTGACTCTATCATGTATAACAATTGACAGTTAATGCAATTTATCACCAACAAATTTCCTTGTATCATTCTGCAAGTAATTGATTATTCTACTTGAGATATTGTCTGTCATTGTTGAGATGCTATTTAAACAAGAACGAAGATCCGTACTGAGCGAGTTTGCTGAAACACGTTGAATGTAAAGTTAGAAATTGTGTGAAGTTATGAGGGATTACGTACTGATTCATCAGCATACAACAGTATTTATAGTAATCGTGAATGAAACAACATCAATAAAGTTATAGGTCATTCACTTAGAGCTTTACAGTAAAAATATATTGTCCACTACCCTCCGTTAATATTATTACTACTAACAGTCATGCATCACGGATGAACTCTAATGTTGTCACCTGATTATTTGCCTTAAATTTCTATTTTGTTGTTTTGTCTACCCACGGTTTTGTGTATTTTTATATTGTTTCGTCAACGTTCGGTATTGACAAGGTGTTGAAGTGGGGAAATTAGTGTCACTGGCACTGTCAAATTACTTACAAATCATTTTAGTATTTTACTCCAACTACGGTTATTCCTTGTTCTGCGTAGTACATATACCGGTAAATGGGGCAGCAATTGTATACAGGGTTACTATAGTAAAAGTAAACGCATCGCAGCTACGTGTGAGTATTTTTTATTTACAAGAAAGAAAATTGACTTCACATTGCTGCAATGAAACTTCACAACAATGTATCTGTGTAAACTGGGAGAATTCTTCTTTCAATTGAACAACAAAATTGCGGATACGTATCGTTTGTGACAACGCATTATGATTCCTCGATGGGTCGGTGAAAGATCTCATTAAAGAATTCGATCTTTTTCATAACACCTAAGTCGGTTTTGAGCGAGCTACCTTTAGTGTACCATTTGATCCTCCATTGCTTTTGCTATCCAGTCCGGTTCGGCCTGTGCTATTTTTTCAATGATCTGATTAACTTGATAACACAGTGATTGTATTTGTTTGTCCCATGTTGGCAAGATTTCACGTGCTAAAAATGAACAGTAGTGTGAATGTGGTGAATCGTAGTGTGCAATGAAAGAAAAATAATTTTAACCAATACTCACTTTCGAAGTGTACTATCGAGTCGATCTGATCAATAAATCCATTCATTCGACCCTCTGTGATCATTTGACTGGCTATTTTTTCAGCTTTTGTTGGTGGAATTTCTAACAGGGCACCCAGCTCTTCAAAAGTTATGTTATTGTACAGCTTACTAGCTGAGAGTAAATTATGCTCGATTACTGCCCTGTCGAGTATTGTCGATCCGAGTCCATCAATTGTGCAAGCCTTCTGATGCGGCTGTAATAAAGCTTCGAATTCCTGCAACTCTGAACGACGGATTATGCGATCCAGATACATTTTCTCGAGAATTGAATAAGCAGGAAGTTGCTGACAACGTTCGTCTTTGAATAGCGTTGCTAGCATGCGGCTTCTTTGCTGTCCTGTTGAGATACAAATGATGGTTTAACTGTAAAATACTATTTTATTTGTCACATTCACTTTGGGCCTGCTACTTACCTGCGGAAGCTAGTACTGTGCAGATTAATGCATTTCGCAGAGCTGTCATACGTTCATCCTCATGTATGATTGATCTATATGATAATTCATTGTATCTTTGTGCTGCTTCAATGAACTTTCGTCTATAGTCCAGCACCCTTGCATAGCATACCTTATAATAGATTTGTAACTGCTCATTCTTAGACTCTGCCTGTAACCAAAGACATGTTTTTTTAAACGTTTTAATTATTCATATAATTATAATGCTATGTTAGCCTATGTTTGATTAAATTCAATAGTTTGCACACCTGTAAAAGAGAGGCTCTGTTAATAAATGCTTCAGCCTGCACTGGATCATCGTCTTCTAAATAAAGTCTAGCGATTTTGAGGTACGTATCTAGTTTATAGTCAACAGTGTATTGCCTAAAACAAATACACTGTTAGATTTGTTTCTTTTTAACACTGTCAAATGCTAGAACAAAAATAATTACTAACTTTTGTCCAGTTTCCAATGGAATTCCAACCAAAACGTTTGCAGCTTCACGCCAATTTTGATTACGTTCATAAATATCAGCTAAATGCTGTCTTATGCCAGCTACTTGTTCTTCAAATGAAATTACACGTGGTTGAACCTGGTATAGAGTACATTTAATTATACATAAAAGTAATAGTAATATCATATAAACATGTTCATGTTATTTACCTTATCCAAAGTATAATGTGAAACTGCTTTTGATATTTCATCTGGCAGTACCAGTAGCTGATTGCTAACATCTGTTAAAACTTGTCTCGAAATGACTAGGCTCACATTCTCATTTACAACTGAAACAGGAAAAGGCATTAGCTTATTCAACAAAATCAAAATACATTAAAGGAATAAAATAATTTCATTCCAAAGAACCAGTACATGTCCAATTGACAGTTGTCTCCTATATATAACTAAAAAAAACTCAGAATGAACAACTATTTGAACAAAATCACTGCTTTAACATAGCAAAACAGGAACGTACTTGCTTCAATGAAGATTTTTAAGGCATCAATCAATTCCTCACCAGAGGAAGTAAGTATAACATCGAGTATAGCACGATACCTAAAATTGACATTTTGAAAATTTGCAAGAGAAGCCAATGGATTAACAAAAAATATAGTTTACTTTTCAGCCTGATCCTTGTGCGAACCGCCGGAGTGTGCTAAATTAGTAAGCTGTTGACGTACGCTGGACACGGTCACCACCATTTTTTTTTCGAAAATGATGTTTGCAACTAATAACTACCTAATTACGTTTACCAGTTGTACGGCGGCTGGAGGACAATAGACAACAACTGAACTAGCGCCACACGCGACGTTGTATGATACTATCATTCGATTTTCATACTAACGGTAGGTACGTTCAGCGTTTTTAACAACTTGGATCTAAAATTAGGACATTGGAGGTTGGAAAATTAAATTTTTATAAGCTACATAATCTTTGTATAAGGCAGTTAGCTGTATATAATTACAGTAACCATTTACGTAACTGTGTTAAACGAATAATTTATGGTTTCTTGCAAGTTATGTGGATCCAGGTTGTTTCTATGCTCAATCAAAATTATGGGTACTCTGGTACACGTATCTGATTGGACCAGGTTGGATGAAGAGGGCGTTGTTTATGCGTGACGTGTTTAACCGCGTAGGGCGCACGCAGTGGAAATGAAAATTCGTACGTGTCCTTATACTTTATTGTGGTTTTCATGCGTTATTTGACAAGCAATAATGCGCGGTTTTTTGGTGGACATCCACAAGTATACACTTTTTGAATAATTAGTGATTTCTTGTGGATCTTGTAGGCGATAAGGTACTTTAAGAAGATTCAACCTTTAGTGTTGTTTATACACAACCTCGCGCTATGCATTGTGGGACAGCAATGGTGGGCGCGTGATTTTGAACAATTTCCAGATATTACAGAGAAAACAGGTACGGTTGATGAATGGGTATAAATTGTTAAGTAGTCTTTCGACAGATACTTTGTCAATTATTTTCTTTTATCTTTGTACCGATAAATATTCTTGATTTGAATATATATGCTTTTGAGGCACGCCCCCATCCGACACTGTAGGCACTTAGTATGAATGTTAATGTTCTAGGTTAAGTTTAATTTTACGACATTTTGCATCAATACTTACATAAATTCTTATTGTAAATTGTTGCTCAATTTTCACCAAATATATGGAGTGTAATTTCTTGCGAAAATTCCTTTCGCAACTTACATCTTGTATAAAATATGTAGTGAGTTTGCTTGGGAGAAAATGGCGCGGCGATGCAATAAATGGCGCTAATGTGAGTGGATGGAATATATTTAGGTAATTCTTTAATATTTGAACTTTCACAATGGAATTTTTATCTGTGCATTCGCTGCTTGTGATTTATTCATATCGTGAATCCTTACATTTTATTCCTGCATAACTACGATAAATTCGTATGATTTGGTGGTTTCCTAGCAAGTGTTTAAATATTTGAAATTTTAAATGTTTATTCGATGATTAGTATATATCTACGTGTTTTATTCTTTATGATGCAGTTTTGTTAGCCTCTGTTTGTACAGCATGTCCTTTTCCTTTGCTGTCGTCTGTTTTTTTTTAATTAAAAATATTGACTACAAATTTCTAACCTCTTTAATAAATATGATATTTTTATGCTTTAGGAGACATGTATTTTATTATAATAATACTGGCTTAATGTACGCAGTACATGATTAACAGGTCATTATGGAGACAGTGCGGTACAGTTTATTGATACAATTTTGTCTTTTGTTAGAGATCATTACAATTTCTGCATGATTATATTACATAATTAATGGCATTATTAATTGAAAATTGACAAAGTTAATTGTATATATTTATAGATTGCACAGTATAATTTTTGTTATCTGTTTATATTTAAGGAAAATTGCTGAAGCAGTATCCTGAAGATGTCTGTTAATAAAGGTCACGGTGCAAGAGCTCTTGTCGAGCCTTTAGCACTTGACTCACGCACATTGGGTGATAGTGATTTGAGTGCTTTGAGCCTCTCCAATAATGCAGAGCAATATTCATCGAATGACTTTGAAACGTTTGCAAATATTCAAGCTGAATTGGAATGCATGAATGCAGAGGAAGTTATGACAACTGACGAAGAGCACATAGTGATTGAGCGAAATGTTGATAATGAAACTATTATACCAGATGTGGAAATGCCTGATGTTTCAGACGTTCAGCCCGAACAAATTCTATACACGGCAGCTAATCAGAATACTCAAAACATCATATTTCAAACAAAACCAACATTGCAACGTGTACCTGTTTCCACAATACAGGTAATTGTTCAATCAACAAATAGTATATATAAAATCATTTTATTCTTAAAAGATTTGATGTTTGAAAGTCTAGGATTTTCTCTACACATATCATTATAGTTATGTTATTGAATTTCATGAATTGCTCCAGGTGAAGCCGAGCGCGTGTCAGCCATCGCAAAGTCAGTCTATCATGATCGTATCTCCTGCAGGAGGCCAAGGTACAAGTCAGATATTGAAAATTTCCCATCCTTCGACAGCTTCAGCAGGTCAACTACAATCTTTGGCACAAACTCTTATAACTGCCAAGTCTGCAGATGGAAATATAGTGCAGTTGCGATCAGCTCAATCTACAAAGCCTGTCATGGCTACGAGTCAAGCAGGGAATATTACTTTAAGTAATATTCAGAGTATGAAAGCAGTACAATCAGCGATAAAAAGACCTGCGCAGTCTGGTCAGCAAAACAGAAACGTTAGTGTATATTACAATCTACTCTCAATTCAAATAGAATTATCTCTCTACTTTCAATACAAAAACAAAATCCTCATTGTAACAAACTAGCCTTTATCAAACAAAAAGAATGGTAGAAATGTAACAGTAGAAAGAAAAAAATTCTCCTTTAGAAGACTATATATTAAAGACTTGTAGTTGGGTTCAACTAAATTAAACTTCACTCTACCATATTTTAACTAAGCCGAGCATAGACGAAGGTTTACGAAAATGCACGAAATTATTACGAAGAGTAGCGCGCCACATTTTAAAATTTATTTGAACAGAAAGCATACATTATTCGCATTTTTAGTTTCATTGAGTACTGCTACAATAGGTTTTATTGTATAATATTCCATAGATATATCAGAAAATTAGAAATATTTAATTACGAATTATCTTTTTGTAGGTCTACACGAAAATGATACTAACTGGTACTCAAGCACAATCTGGTCAGCAGGTTTTAATAGCAACATCACAGGGTGACAATCAGCAACCACAGACAATAAAATTTTTGTCGAGCAGTGCCTCTGGCCAAAGTATTACCAGTCCACCAAAAACTATTACATTAGCACAAGCACAGCAGATGTGTCTTCTGTCTTCTAGTAAAGTACAACATATATTACCTTCGTCACCTCAGAAACAACAGGTAAGATATTCTCCTTCATCGTACAACTGAATTCATTTATTTAATTATACAAATTAACGACTTGTTTTCTAATAGGGCATTATCGTGAACAAGTTATTACATTCATCGACAGGACAGACACCTAAAATGACAATAGTACCAAACAGTGTCGTGAAGTCGCCTACAAAAATACTTCCTGCTCCAAGTATGACAACGCAAGTAAAACCATCCTTGATAACAAACTCGCAATCTGCAACATTTACTGCTGGCAACAAAGCAACGGGTCAACAGAGTCAGCAGAAAGTGATTATTAGACAGGTAGGTTGATACTCACAGGACATAAAGTACATGTAGCATTAATATTAATTTTCTAAGAATCTTGGGAAGAGGCTCTATTTGCCAAAATTATATATAAACAATTATCAGTGGAGTAATATGTAAATTATGAATTTTTTAGTTAGTTGCTTCTGTCGTCGTACAGTACCAGGAAATATTAGTTAAATGTTATTCTTTCTTTGCGAGTAAAATTTAAACACTAGTTGATAAGGGTAGCAATTAATAGGGAACCTGAAGAATTAGTCAAGAATGAATTTTTTAAAGTACCCTTTTTTTTCCTCGCTGGTTAGCGAAAATGAGAAGTCGCCTTAATATTGTCTGGCAAAAGTTATATTAGAACGGAGAAGGAAATCCCTTTAAACAGCCCCTTATGCTATCTTTTTTATAGTTTCAATTATTTTCAGAGTTCATTAAAACCTGGGACAGTACTTGGCAGTGGACAGGTTATTAGAATACCAGCCAATCAGAACATCGTAACAGGATCCAATCAAGTTCATCAAATTCAAGTACCTGGACGACAAGTAAAATGATACTTTGTTATATCTATCGTATCCACCAAATTGTTGCAAGAAACTTTATTTTGTATCTTATTTATTTCAGGTACAATATGTCAGATTGGTAAGCACAGCATCCTCTGGAACAAACAATGTAGTTACAGTAGGAAAACCTAAAGCGCAATCGTCCTTGCAAACAATTGGAATGGCGCAAAAGATTGGTGGACAGCAGCAAATTGTTAAGGTAACAACTAGATCTGTCACATCTGCAATGTGAATCGTATCAGCTTGTATCTTCGAATTTGTTGAATAAAAACTGATATTAACTTTTTTTTAATACAAATTTAGGTGGTACCGTTAAATACTCAGAATCAGACATTGCGAACTGTTGCACCAAAATCATTAACTGCAAGCGGACAGAGACTATTAATACCTGCATCTGCAACTGTTGGAAATCAGTCGAAGAGTGCAGTTGCGATACCTGCATCTGCACTGAGTCAACTGGCGTCTGGTCAGGCTGTCCTTTCAACAAATTCAAATGTTGGAAATATTGTTGTTGTACCAGCCCAATATATTCAGCAACAGGTGAGAAAAATTGCAGTTACAACATGATAGTGGTTGTCATAACTGGATAACAGAATTAAAATAAAGCTTTATACGTTTCAGCATACCGAAGATGTGAAAGTGAAAACTGAACCATCCACTCCAAGTTTATTGACTAATGCCCAAGTGTCTCAGGGTTCTCTTAGTCACTTATCAGTCAGTTCTTTAAACGAGACTAAGAATTCACAACGTTCTTATGCCAGTGTGGAACCAAACGGTATTCGACCAAGAAAACCATGCAACTGCACAAAATCACAATGCTTAAAACTGTAAGTAAAATAAACAAAAAATATCTACGTCTCTCAAGCTGTTTAGAATGGTCTTGTTTCTCCTAGGATTCAATTTCTAATATGAATAATTTTGTTTTATGCATGCACAGAAATTGTGATGGCACAATCGTAGTAGTCACTGAATCATTAGTCGCTTGTTAACGGTCCATTGAAAATATGACAATCTATTCCATATCTGAAAAGTTGTAATACAGACGTAGTATTTCTTAGTGTGACTCGTAACTTAATTCAAGCACTAGACTCGTTTGATTATCCATTAGATTTAAATACACTTTGCATAAGATTATTGACAATACGTTGACTTGATAGGTACTGTGATTGCTTTGCCAACGGCGAATTCTGCCACATGTGCAATTGCAATAACTGCTCGAACAACCTTGGCAACGAGGAGGAACGACAACGCGCCATAAAGTCATGCCTTGAAAGGAATCCCAATGCTTTTCGACCAAAGATCGGCAAGGGACGTGAGACTGGCGACGATATACGTAGACACAACAAAGGCTGCAACTGTAAGCGCAGCGGTTGTTTGAAGAATTACTGCGAGTGCTACGAGGTAAACAACTGTAGTACAACTCGACAACGCAAAGGACCATAGAAATACTATGCTCATGAGGGCCAGGATGCGTGCGTCTTAACGATATGCGTTAACAAAAAACTGATATATATATATATGAAACAACCAACAATTTTAAGAATCAAGCTTTCCGTTATTTACAGGCGAAAATTCCCTGTTCGGCGAATTGCAAGTGCATAGGTTGTCGTAACGTCGAGGAGCCGCATTTGGAGAAGAAATTATTGAAGGATTTAACAGAATCTGCGGACAGTAGAACGGTGCAGTTGGCTTTGAATAAGAACAAATTACAACAATTGCCAGAAATGGCATTCAGACCGCAAGCAACTTCGAATACTGGTGCAAGGTACTGTTATTGTTATTCATTATAAATTTTTCATTGAACTATCTTTTTTTATTCTCTGTGACATCAATCACTGATTGCTGCTTTTTTTAAATAGGCAACCCTTCAATTTTTTAACTGACAAAGTCGTCGAAATAACGTGTCAGTGTTTGATGGCGCAGGCCGATGAGGCAGAACGCAGTATGTTGGACGATGATACGTCGCAGAGGCTGATAATCGAAGAATTCGGAAGATGTTTAAAGGAAATTATTGAGTCCGCACACAAAGCGGAAGCCACTTAGCAGCCGTACGTGTTGATAAACAAAGCAGTTGCCAATTGTTATAAATGTATTGAGGAATTGCTAAGGCGATGGCGTTGTTTGATTATATATTTTGAATAGTATTTAGTTAGGGAAGAAAAAAAGGTATGGTAGAACGAGAAGAAATGATAATGTATGCAAAGCACAGTTGCGCGCTGTATGATTACAGATATGACGATTAGATTATCATGCATAAAAAATGTTAGAAATGCTAGCAGTTGTATAAAGAAATGGCCGAAGTGAACTTATCCATCCATTTGAATAACTTACGTAAAATACCAGTCGATTACTCGATTCTGCTCAGGACACGATTAAGAGTTTTTATTTGATCCGAGCTCCGTGACAGATTATTTTGTTATTTTTTTTATATGACAGGAGATAATTGCTAATCTTTTTCAGTCTAGGTTTGCGGTACTTTTTGGAATTTTTTTCAAACATTTTTACCCGTTTCTAAACAACATGCTATCTTATTGATAAAACCTTCTTTACACAGTGGTCATTGTCTATGGGTGAAAGGAAGACAGGAGATGGAATATACTTTACAGCTATAAATATAAATAAATATAAACACCGTTCGCACTAAACATATCCTATATTGTATTACAATGATTATCTTGTACATAGGCTTGCTCGAGTAATAATACTGTATATAATAAGCAAAAAGAAATGGCTTTTTATAGTACAGAAAAATTATGTACAAGGCAGATGTTAAAAGTTTATTATTTTAGTCTTTGCTGTGTTGTTCTTAGTTTTTGAAGCCTTTGCTGTGTTTGATGCATTCTTGTCCAAGGATTCGATATCTTCACTCGTTATGGTGTCCACGGTAATAGTGTTCTCCTCTTTTTCCTTCACCAAATCTGGACAGTCCTTTCTGAGATGCGTTACGTCACCGCATATTTTACAGGCACCACCGTCAGGGTATAAACCTTTAGGATTATCCGGACATTGCTTAGCAATGTGGCCTTCTTCCCTGCATATAAAGCAGGTGGCATAACGGAATTCTTGAGTTTTGTTAACTCTGCACTCGTAATGCGTATGTTCCGTGGAACCGCATTTGAAGCAAATGCCGATGGCGGATTCCTGTTTGTCTAAATCTGGACACTCAGAGAGATTATGTCCGGATGTACGACAGTGGAAACAGACATTTTTCTTTCGGCGTGCCAGTACCTTTTCACATCTACGTCGTTCTAATTTGAGGGCTCTATTGATTTCTGAATAAGGTATTCCTAAAAGAAAATGGGATCATTGTACTATTAATGTTACATGGGACAAAAGCCAATGAATATTTTATGTATAATAGATAGTGTCATGATTTCCAATAATCTCTCGATTACTTGCCTTTGTTCACCATCTCTTCTTTGAGGTTTTTGAGTCTTTCGGCGTCTTCTTTCATTATTGGAAATCCATCATATTTTACTATGTCAATATCTTTGCCATTAACTGTTATTGTCGTTCTACCAATGTCTGGCTTTCTTCTTTTGTGTGTGTTGTCATCACGCACTTTAGGCGCTTTTCTCTTGTTCCCTTGTTGAGTATTTTTATATGGATTTGAATCTAAAATGGTTTTCTTCTTCGTTTCATTCTCTTTGCTATTATCTTGTTTTTTTAGATAATTGTTTTTATTTGTTTCCTCTCCCAACTTGTGCTTTTTACCAAATTTAACATCAGTGCTCCAATTGTTTCCTTCTATGTTAAACTTTGTATTTCCAGCTGTTGTTTTTTCATCGCTTGCAATGGTTTCATTAGTTGAATTTTTCCTTGCCATTTTTCTATTTCTTTTTTGTCGTTTACTTAAAGGTGCTGTGATCTCACCATTCTTTACATGTTCAGCTTGCATATTCTTGGACAAAGTTTTTTCATTCTTTATTTCCACATGTGAATTTGTAGACATTGCATGCTGTGTTATCTCCTTATTTGTTTCATGATTTACATTAGATATATCCTTTACATTGTTTTTATTTTTCAGCTGATTCACACTACTATCATTAACATGATCATTTTTATCTGACTTATGTGCCTTTTTTAATTTCTTTTTTGTGGATTCTGACTTATTATTCTGAACTTTATCATTTTCATCATTTTTCTTTCTTACTTGTGTATTGTCAAATTCAGACCATCCATGATTCACATTTCCTATCGTATCGTAGTAAACTAGTTCATCTTTTGCCTTTAGCAATTCAGATGCTGATTTTGGCTTTTCACATATTCTTGTATTGTGATCTTCATTTAAGCCTACTTTCATAACATGCCATGGTGTAGGTTCATTAGGTTGCCGTTCATTAGATGACTTAGATCCTTTTGCTCTTGCAAATCTTGTCATAGCGTGAACGTAGAAGCTGTATACAAATTAAAGAAAGCTTAAATCTCTTTTTAATACAAAATTATTTAATGGAAAAAGTAAATTATCTTTATTGCAGTCTATCATTCAAACTATACCTTTCTTACAAATATGTAGTAAAATATTTTAAGGTTAAGGCATGTGCATCACCCATAAATATCGACACATTAACTTTAAAGTACGTTTCTGCATAAAGGTTAAGCTCAAATTAAGTATTGAATTAAATAATACTAATTGATGATCTAATACAACATTTATATGTGTTCTTCTAATCAAAGTACACTATTCGTACCTCGATACTGCGACACGTGGTACATAAAAACTACGAACTGGTCAACAGCCAATAGCATATTCACTTGCATTAATGGTCCGATGGTATCCCAGTCCACCCACTAAACGCGACTGTCAACCAATGGTACAACGTGTCGACAAGAATTCATATTGTGTCATTCGTCATTAGAATTCGCGTTCAATGAGTGTGACAGGGCTGAACTACGTTTACGCGACGGTCTTATTTCGGTTTAGGGATTACTGATTTAAGGGAATTGATTTGCTTAAGTTTTTGAAGAGAAATGTCTGTGATTTGTCAATTCCATTAGATCAGTACTAACTAAATCGGAATAAGATTGCCGTGTAAACGTAGTAAACAAACTGAGCACAATATCTAATAAATATTAAATATATAAAATAAATATCAACTATACTAATCATATGCAAACAGCAAATAAACAGATTCAAATTTTACTGCTTTCAAAACAAATTATGTTCAATTTCTAAGTGCTCATGTCTGTTCAAGCTCGAGGTAGGAGTATAGAACATTGGAGAATGGCGCATGCGCACTGTTCCAGCCGGTTAGAAGAGGGGATGGATCGTCTCGCGATTGGCTGTATTTTGACGCTTGGTCCTCAGTGCTCTGAATCTCGCCGCGAGGGATGGAGCAGTGTGTCTCAATTTGTCTGAATTATACGTTTTCTTGCCATCGCGAACCTTCGTCTAGAATTGAGTCTAATTGTTAAAAGTGCTCTAAAATCAATGAACTAAACTTTTACTGCATCGTTAACCTTTTTACCGTATAAATCGTGAGTGCTGTCGGCTACGAAGTGACAATTCCCATAGTGGTGCTGCTGGTATGGTGGTTGTTTCTGATGTCGTGGTGGTCTAGTGCATTCACCGTTAAATTTTCAGGATTCTCTAGAACGTAGGTAGGTTATTTATCGATTATCATACGATACTTCTAACTTTATGGGATATATCTTATACCTGGCTTTCTTCCTACGTCCTTTCAGTAACATTAAGAAACCGTGGAATTCTTCTCTTGTTATAAAAGGGTACGGAACGATACGTATCCGCGGACCGGTCCGAATGCGCAGCATCTCACGAACCTCTTTTTTTCTTTCTATTCTTCTACCTTATATTATTCCGTCTCTTTTTTTTTAATTATTCTTCTCTTAACCATTATACTTTTTATCTTTCTAAAGCGAATTATTAAGATCTCTCTACTATTATCCGCTCTTGGCATGGTCAATTACTATTGGTCGAACCGACATGAATTTTCCTGATAAATTTCAAGTCGTGCTTCACGTAATATACCTAAAATTCTCGAGCTTCTCCAGGACGGTTTTACTATGTCACACTCGATGAATATTAGATTGTTATCGGTCAATTAGCGTATGGAAAGGAACGCTTAGTTTAACGTTTACATCTGGAATCAATTTTTTTTACGACGAAAATTTAACTAATTTTTTCTTTGATCTGATCGCTTCTCCATTTGCCTCTTGTGTCCACACTTTAGTTTTTGTTGGGCAAGGAATAACGGTTCACGCATGTATATCCAATGGCTCTTTTAAAATTTTTTCAGAGTAAGTATTTGCCTCGAGCTTGACAAACTTTCCTAGAAAATTTAAATTTGTACAATGCCTCCATCTTGTTTTAGGGTTAATTTGACTTTTTATAACGTCGTTTTACTAAGAGTCAGGTTGGGTTAGCTTTGCCACGCTATCACTCATAAAAACGTTCGATCAGGTAAACTGCAATATTGCACAAGGCTAATATAATCTTTCTCATTTTTTAATAGCTCTTGATATATTTTTTAAAAATAACGATATTATAAACACTCACGCGTATCTATTTTTATTGACATCAATCGACGTTCTTGTTAAACTACGTATCAGTGTCAGAGCCGTATATACACCTTGTATGCACAAGTGTAAGATCGTCCGAGTTCTGATGTATTCATCGTTTGATTGCCTTTAATTTCAGTATGCCCTGCTTGGACATCTTTGGTAATTAATAGCTCATTAACAGGTGCGTTTAATTAACATTTGCGTTGCGATAATAATTAAACGTTATCCTAGATACGTATATTGGATACTTCATATCCTTGTGTTAAATTAATATTAAATTATTTCCTTTTAATAGAACTTTTTGTCTTAGTTGTATCATTAGGAGATTATTTATACTTTTGGTATATATTCTTGATGCCGTTACGGATTCTCTTTTAAATATTCTTTTGCAAGTAAAGACATAGCGGCGATGAGACGCAAAATTAAAAAAAAATGCCGGACCTCTCTCGCACTCTTAACATTACCCTATTGTAGGCTGTGTAGTTGGAATATTCAGAGATGAAAGCGATGGTGAAATTGACGTGAGAACAAGATAAGCGAAATGATGGTCTATTGCTTGAAGGTCAGTGTAATCGTATCGTATGAAATTAGAAAAGAGTCAGGAACACAAGTATCGATATATCGAAAACATTCGATATTTGACGTTCGATCATTTTTTTTTTTTATATTATTGAATGAACGAAACTTTTTCGGACGGAATATTTAGGGCGAAAGAGGTGAAGCTAGAATTACATGCATCGACACTTGTTCAGATACGTTTAAATTCTTGACTGGCGTGTCTCGACAAGTATACGCGTGAACTTTACGTGTTCCGATCTAGATAAATTTGTATCTTAATGAGAATCTCACGTATGAGGCGAGCACGCCTGTTCGTACGGACCGACATGTCTCCGTCTTTTTTAGGTTAGATCGAAAATTCGTAATTTCATGTCATAAAGGTCGTACGTGTTGCATAGAGGCGTTTGAAAATTGATAAGAAAATTTAATGTAAAATAATTGTGAAAATGTTAATTCACTTACATCGCAAATCGTTATAAGCATTTTTCGTTACCTGACTTACGTATTTACGTTCTTGACAGATTTTACCAGCATCTCGTTAGTTTCGTTAATTTGACATTCTTTATAGAAGTGTTATATTTAACGAGGACGTACTGTTGAGTGTTACGTGTATCATGTGTTTGTGTGTGTTTATGTGTGTGTAAATATATATATACACACACAATTTTTAACTGTTCAAAAGGTACATACGAATATCCGTTTTTTGCCGTTAGCAACGCAAAAGAAACGAAAAGATTACGATGTAAACGCATAATTTGCAGCTAAACAAATTAGTTTTAATGCTTGCAACGTTATTGTAAACTTTATAGGATAAATGCGAAATCTGTATACCATTTGACGATGGTAGCGATATTGTTTGCAGATACTTGGAAAACAAATGATTTTGGTATGTCGAATCATCAAAAAATTACTTTTAATCAAAAGCTTAGTCAATCGTATTACCCGTGAGTTTTTTTTTGAATGGCTGTATGTATGCCTGTCCTTTTCTTGCTCACGTGACTCGCCATCAGTAGGTCTCACTCGTGCGCATGAAATTTTTAAGAGACTCCAAGATCCAGAGGCCTTATCCCTTTCTGCTCTCGCATGATTAGTAATGGACATTGGAATGCTTTGTTCACTTTGAACAATAACAAAATCCGACTGCGCCATTTCAGCTTAATATAGAGTGTCGAGGCAGCCAGCACAATCCCAAGGAAAGCTTTTGGAGCGTTTGAAACCCTAATCACGATGTCCTTTCCGAGCCAATACGTTTCACTTTGAGCGTATCGCCCAAACACAGGTGGTCTAGAATCGATCTGAAAATTAACTCAGAAACACATTTCACGTATTAGCACGCAACTCGGACTCTGGGGTTATTTTAAATATTCTCCTACATCGTTGTTTTGACGGAGATGACGAAGCGTCGTGTCCGAACAATTTGCTAACGTCGGAGGCTTTCTCGTGAGGGGGAAACAATTTAAAAAAATGAAGCAGGGAAGAAAAGTAAAGGCAACAAAAATAGTGATCAGGTCCTGAAAATTTTCAAAAGAATCTGAATCACTTTTTTTTTTACTTCGTCGACACTTTCCCCTTCATTAGTGGCCATGGCTGTTTTATTCTGGGATCGGTTTAATTTTTTTATTCTTTACTGTTCTACCCAGAATAACTCAATATCGACGAGTGTGTACCTTCAGAAGTCAGGTGCGCGGCACTTAATGCGTACTTATTACTGGAGTAAGCCAAAAAAAGTTGTAGATTTTCCTGGGCATCGTATATGGATACGTGTCAGGAGGATTAATGCTATTGTCACGGACATTAAAATTCACAAGAGAATCGATAGTCGAGAAGTGCGAGGGAGTTAACGGAGCTTGGCTCGAATTTTATTGACTCGTTTGTCACTCTTTGTATCACTCGCATTGTCTATGGTGATAAGGAAATCGTTTGTAGTTTATTCTGTAGCCACTGGTGGTCTTTGTAATTTCTTTCTTCCTATTTTTCGCATTCACTTCTTCATGTTTTAACGAAGCGCATTAATTAGCGAACTCACTTTCACGCGGAGTAATTAAAGATTCGGCGTAGGTGTGCGCTGTTAGATTGAGACAGGGAGAACCGGCAGTGACGTCACGGACAAATTCTCCGATGCGCTAGCGTGTGATTTTTCTCTGGTCGCAAGGTGTAAATGGGATTTTAATGTTGTGTCGAATGATGGTTTGCAATTATTTTTAAATGGAAGTGCTGGAGGATGATAACGTTCATAATAAAATGATAAATTTTTTGTTTCAGGCAGAAGATCCGTTCATGTTAATCGGAAGAGTAAGGGACATAAGAAACCGGAAAAGGAAGGGACATAAGAAACCGGAAGTGAACATCAGTCAGTGTAAAGAAGTAGGAATAACAGTAAAATAATTACCATGAGATCCTTCTGCAAGAAGAGGGGGTTAGAGGACAAGTCGTTCTGAAGCTGAATCGAAGAGTGACAGTTTGACCCCATGGAATGTCGTCGCGGCGCTCAACTTTCCCGAGGCTCATCCTCGTGCTCCAGCTGGAATCTGTCTCGTTCTTACGGTGTATGAATAGTGATCGTGCCACGTGATCGGCCGGATATAAGTGGAACCAGGTCGCCGGAAGTGGACGGGGGGTGATCGGAAGCGCACCAGCCCTGTTGTAGCCGTAAAAGACGTTTCCAAGGTTGCTATTAGTCATTGGTGGTTAACGAGAAGCAATAGTATTACTGACAGTATACTAGATGTCGACGGTACTGATGATCTGGTGCTGATAACCCAGTGATTGGTGGTTTTAACGGTGATTGGGATTCACCTGGGTTTGGCTGTTCAGGAGGAATTGAGGCCGACTATGATGATGAATATATAGTACAGGCTTGCCGGTCCTCTAAGTGCACGTGTGATACAGACTGATTCAGGCTGGGTGATACGGAGTTGGAAGCTGCGGTGGTTTCCGCCGATGTGGTGATGCGGGGATGTGGATCGGCGTCGACCCAATAGGAAGCCGAGACGGCTGGACCTGGGGAATTGGACTCTCGTTTATTGTACTTTTATGCTGGTGCCACGTCGGTCAGAGTGACGCCAATCTGACCGAGGGCGGCGTCGCGACGGCGAAGAACGTTGCCCCTATTGCAAAGAATAGCGGCACGTCCGGCGTCGTGTCGCCACCCTTGTCCGCCTCCTCGTCCTCCTCGTCGGTAGCGTCATCGGGCAGGCCCGATGATGACTGTAGCAATGTGACCACGGCGACTGGAGATGGTTAGTTTGAATTCGTTTTCTACATGCGTGTGAAGTTAGCAGATCATTTTTTCAATTTTGGTTTTTTTTTTTTGGGTAAAATCGAGAGAATTATTACTAGAATATACCAGGACAATTGAACTCAGTTGCATGCGAAAAGAACTCCCATTTATTTATGATCTGCTGGAAGTTGATCTGCTAACTTCACACGAATGTTTTCTACAGTAATATACTTATAGACTGTATAGTGAAACTCGAAAACTTTTTGGAGGGGATTTATGTACGATATTTATTTTATTTTGGAAAGATATAGAAGACCAAAAATTATTTGTTTAAATCAAACTCGCGTAGGTTTGTAGTAACTTCTATTTCGTTTGTAGTAGCTTTGTTTCGTTTGTAGTTGTTTGTAGTAACTTCTATTTCGTTTGTAGTAGCTTTGTTTCGTTTGTAGTTGTTTGTAGTAACTTCTATTTCGTTTGTAGTAGCTTTGTTTCGTTTGTAGTTGTTTGTAGTAACTTCTATTTCGTTTGTAGTAGCTTTGTTTCGTTTGTAGTTGTTTGTAGTAACTTCTATTTCGTTTGTAGTAGCTTTGTTTCGTTTGTAGTTGTTTGTAGTAACTTCTATTTCGTTTGTAGTAGCTTTGTTTCGTTTGTAGTTGTTTGTAGTAACTTCTATTTCGTTTGTAGTAGCTTTGTTTCGTTTGTAGTTGTTTGTAGTAACTTCTATTTCGTTTGTAGTAGCTTTGTTTCGTTTGTAGTTGTTTGTAGTAACTTCTATTTCGTTTGTAGTAGCTTTGTTTCGTTTGTAGTTGTTTGTAGTAACTTCTATTTCGTTTGTAGTAGCTTTGTTTCGTTTGTAGTTGTTTGTAGTAACTTCTATTTCGTTTGTAGTAGCTTTGTTTCGTTTGTAGTTGTTTGTAGTAACTTCTATTTCGTTTGTAGTAGCTTTGTTTCGTTTGTAGTTGTTTGTAGTAACTTCTATTTCGTTTGTAGTAGCTTTGTTTCGTTTGTAGTTGTTTGTAGTAACTTCTATTTCGTTTGTAGTAGCTTTGTTTCGTTTGTAGTTGTTTGTAGTAACTTCTATTTCGTTTGTAGTAGCTTTGTTTCGTTTGTAGTTGTTTGTAGTAACTTCTATTTCGTTTGTAGTAGCTTTGTTTCGTTTGTAGTTGTTTGTAGTAACTTCTATTTCGTTTGTAGTAGCTTTGTTTCGTTTGTAGTTGTTTGTAGTAACTTCTATTTCGTTTGTAGTAGCTTTGTTTCGTTTGTAGTTGTTTGTAGTAACTTCTATTTCGTTTGTAGTAGCTTTGTTTCGTTTGTAGTTGTTTGTAGTAACTTCTATTTCGTTTGTAGTAGCTTTGTTTCGTTTGTAGTTGTTTGTAGTAACTTCTATTTCGTTTGTAGTAGCTTTGTTTCGTTTGTAGTTGTTTGTAGTAACTTCTATTTCGTTTGTAGTAGCTTTGTTTCGTTTGTAGTTGTTTGTAGTAACTTCTATTTCGTTTGTAGTAGCTTTGTTTCGTTTGTAGTTGTTTGTAGTAACTTCTATTTCGTTTGTAGTAGCTTTGTTTCGTTTGTAGTTGTTTGTAGTAACTTCTATTTCGTTTGTAGTAGCTTTGTTTCGTTTGTAGTTGTTTGTAGTAACTTCTATTTCGTTTGTAGTAGCTTTGTTTCGTTTGTAGTTGTTTGTAGTAACTTCTATTTCGTTTGTAGTAGCTTTGTTTCGTTTGTAGTTGTTTGTAGTAACTTCTATTTCGTTTGTAGTAGCTTTGTTTCGTTTGTAGTTGTTTGTAGTAACTTCTATTTCGTTTGTAGTAGCTTTGTTTCGTTTGTAGTTGTTTGTAGTAACTTCTATTTCGTTTGTAGTAGCTTTGTTTCGTTTGTAGTTGTTTGTAGTAACTTCTATTTCGTTTGTAGTAGCTTTGTTTCGTTTGTAGTTGTTTGTAGTAACTTCTATTTCGTTTGTAGTAGCTTTGTTTCGTTTGTAGTTGTTTGTAGTAACTTCTATTTCGTTTGTAGTAGCTTTGTTTCGTTTGTAGTTGTTTGTAGTAACTTCTATTTCGTTTGTAGTAGCTTTGTTTCGTTTGTAGTTGTTTGTAGTAACTTCTATTTCGTTTGTAGTAGCTTTGTTTCGTTTGTAGTTGTTTGTAGTAACTTCTATTTCGTTTGTAGTAGCTTTGTTTCGTTTGTAGTTGTTTGTAGTAACTTCTATTTCGTTTGTAGTAGCTTTGTTTCGTTTGTAGTTGTTTGTAGTAACTTCTATTTCGTTTGTAGTAGCTTTGTTTCGTTTGTAGTTGTTTGTAGTAACTTCTATTTCGTTTGTAGTAGCTTTGTTTCGTTTGTAGTTGTTTGTAGTAACTTCTATTTCGTTTGTAGTAGCTTTGTTTCGTTTGTAGTTGTTTGTAGTAACTTCTATTTCGTTTGTAGTAGCTTTGTTTCGTTTGTAGTTGTTTGTAGTAACTTCTATTTCGTTTGTAGTAGCTTTGTTTCGTTTGTAGTTGTTTGTAGTAACTTCTATTTCGTTTGTAGTAGCTTTGTTTCGTTTGTAGTTGTTTGTAGTAACTTCTATTTCGTTTGTAGTAGCTTTGTTTCGTTTGTAGTTGTTTGTAGTAACTTCTATTTCGTTTGTAGTAGCTTTGTTTCGTTTGTAGTTGTTTGTAGTAACTTCTATTTCGTTTGTAGTAGCTTTGTTTCGTTTGTAGTTGTTTGTAGTAACTTCTATTTCGTTTGTAGTAGCTTTGTTTCGTTTGTAGTTGTTTGTAGTAACTTCTATTTCGTTTGTAGTAGCTTTGTTTCGTTTGTAGTTGTTTGTAGTAACTTCTATTTCGTTTGTAGTAGCTTTGTTTCGTTTGTAGTTGTTTGTAGTAACTTCTATTTCGTTTGTAGTAGCTTTGTTTCGTTTGTAGTTGTTTGTAGTAACTTCTATTTCGTTTGTAGTAGCTTTGTTTCGTTTGTAGTTGTTTGTAGTAACTTCTATTTCGTTTGTAGTAGCTTTGTTTCGTTTGTAGTTGTTTGTAGTAACTTCTATTTCGTTTGTAGTAGCTTTGTTTCGTTTGTAGTTGTTTGTAGTAACTTCTATTTCGTTTGTAGTAGCTTTGTTTCGTTTGTAGTTGTTTGTAGTAACTTCTATTTCGTTTGTAGTAGCTTTGTTTCGTTTGTAGTTGTTTGTAGTAACTTCTATTTCGTTTGTAGTAGCTTTGTTTCGTTTGTAGTTGTTTGTAGTAACTTCTATTTCGTTTGTAGTAGCTTTGTTTCGTTTGTAGTTGTTTGTAGTAACTTCTATTTCGTTTGTAGTAGCTTTGTTTCGTTTGTAGTTGTTTGTAGTAACTTCTATTTCGTTTGTAGTAGCTTTGTTTCGTTTGTAGTTGTTTGTAGTAACTTCTATTTCGTTTGTAGTAGCTTTGTTTCGTTTGTAGTTGTTTGTAGTAACTTCTATTTCGTTTGTAGTAGCTTTGTTTCGTTTGTAGTTGTTTGTAGTAACTTCTATTTCGTTTGTAGTAGCTTTGTTTCGTTTGTAGTTGTTTGTAGTAACTTCTATTTCGTTTGTAGTAGCTTTGTTTCGTTTGTAGTTGTTTGTAGTAACTTCTATTTCGTTTGTAGTAGCTTTGTTTCGTTTGTAGTTGTTTGTAGTAACTTCTATTTCGTTTGTAGTAGCTTTGTTTCGTTTGTAGTTGTTTGTAGTAACGTCTATGTCGTTTGTAGTAGCTTTTTTTCGTTTGTAGTTGTTTGTAATGACATTCTTTTGTTTGTAGTTACTACAAACGAAACAAAGCTACTATAAACGAAATAGAAGAACTACAAATGATTCTCTGCAGGAATCAGTGATTAGATTTTATTTTTTTCAAAGTCGGTGGATGGGCTTTTTTTATGAAACTATAACTTTTTTTTGGATCTACTACAAACGAAAAACTTGGTACTACAAACAACTACATACCTAAATCTATAAGTCTATAAAAAAAAAATTTGATTTTCCAAAGTCGGGTGCCAAGTTCACATAGCTGCGCGTGGAGATACCGGAGTAGAATCATTGTCTTTTTAAGAGACAATGTATGCACGGGAGAGCCTAAATCGATAAATTAATATATCAGTATTTGCCGTTTTATTCGCATTGTTTACTGCATTACTATAAAGCTGCTCGCGCAGGGCTTCGAATTTCAATACGTTGCTCCACTTTGACTTGTTCATCCGATTATTTTACTAACAAACAGAATCCCAGTCGCAAACAACTCCCCGCGTACGTAAGCGCCATGAATATCATAGGCTTTACGGTATTGAATTTGAAACTTCGCTTTCCAATACGTTCACACTCTTAACCCACGAGTCTGCACGTGATGCGGCATCAACTTGGTCATAGGCCAAATCTATGCGATATATACAGTGTCAACTGCATTGAAAAGCCACAACGTCAATTATTATCCTTTGGATAGCATTGCGCAGACCGGTCAAAATAAATTTTCTCGAAATCTCACAAACAAGATGAATTTCATAATTCAATAGTTTGTTCGCATCGCTTCTTCTTGTCTCTGAAACAAAAACCGCTCTTTGGCAATCCACTCACTAATCGGCAATTGCAATTGAGCTTTAGTTTGCATTGCTCGTACGTCGTTGCAGTCAATATCCATAAATCAAATGAACAACAAAGTATTGCTTTGTAATCACTCACACAAATATTTCATGTTTTATAACAAACGAGACCTAAGAATTAATACATTTTTCATATTTCGTTCTCCAGGTGATGCCGGTCTGTCAGTAGTCAGGCAGAACGATGGCGGTGGTGCCACAACGTATCCTCATCCGCCAATGGTGCCTCCAACATTTCTGAACGGAGCTCTATCCTGTCAGCCCTACCACGGCGTCTACATCAATCACATCTACTTCCAATTGGCCAACGCGTTCTTCCTATTGTCACATCTGGCACCGAGTGGTATCCACGGTGTTCTCTACTTGCGGTGTACCCTCTTAGTTGGCTGTGCCTTCCTAGCTTTATGGGGATGGGCCATCGCTTGCTGGCTGGATGCTGCACTCTGGAACGCTCTGTTCGTGGCCATCAACTTCATTCACGTCTGCACCTTGCTGTACAGACTGAGACCAGTGAAATTTTCCCGAGAAGTCGAGGATGTGAGTTTTTACTTTTTTCCTTCTTCTTCTTATTATTACTATTAAACAAAAATTCATAACAATTTTTCGAAGGCTCTCCTGACTCGAAGGAAAATTATTTCCGTCGCTGTTTCTTGCCCGTTACTTACAAGAGGCTGTATATTAATGTGTACTCTATTATATAATGGACTATACGTATATGCATATGCATATACGCAGCTGCTGTTATACGCATACTCGTTCCACTCCAATTGAAACGATACTCGATCGCACGAGTGACTCTCGAATTATCGAATGTCTCGAGTATCGCGTATCGAGATTCGCTCTGCTGGAAATAACGATTGGAGTGAAATTTAAAAGAGACGATTTTGCAAGATCGACACATGGTGGAGGATTGATTATCATTATACGTATATGGATTTGGCGGCGTCTAGTTACTTGTACTGTATAAGGTAGCCTCTGCTTGTATTATCTAATCGAAGACCGATATCTGTATGCTTATCACGAAGAGTTTGATGAGTTCAGTTAAATTCAAAGAGGCTCTTATCAGTTCAATGAAAAGGAGTTATCTGCACCATCTCATCGGATAGTTTACGGATACGCCTTACGTTCTGTACTTCGTGAGAGGAGATTTTTACATCCTTCAGTACTATCGAGATATGGATCCTTAAGATGCTCTGTGGATATCGTCAAGAACTTTATCGAGACACTAAAGCTTTATCGACTTGCGTCTAAAAGGGTTTTGTCAAGACCGGAAGTCGGTCCAGACTCAAACGAAAACTGGAAATTGTAATCACGAGCTTCCAGGACCACACTGAACGTCCAACGATAGTATGAATGGTAGTAGGTAGTAGTACTGGTAATACTAAGCTTACACCACTAAGCGGATACTTGTTGGGGCCACCCTTCACGAAGTCTCCCTGCCAATCAGTCAGTCTGTAACTTTAATTTCCGGCCTTGGGCACGGGCACGCTACGAAAACAATTTTCATCCGAAGAGTATTTCTGGCGAACGCAAAGAATATGGCGGCTAAGAATGAAGTAAGACCAGTGGGATGAAACGGCGCTAGAAATTCTCGTGACCACAATGATTTTATTTCATTAATTTTTTTATAACTGTAAGTAAAATCGTCAATATTATTATCTATTGACACGTGCACGGAACTTTAGGCCTAATTACATTGTAACGTGCGTCATGTATAATTTCGTTCTACTGTTATATGCTATTGATGATTCAGTGTCTAGATGCGCGATTAGACCGGGTGCACGGTGCGTCATCCGATTCATCCTCCCCCCTCCTTTATTTGAATACTTTAGAAACACGCACTCGTAGAACAGCGACACGCAACTTGTTATGCTATCGCGAAAAAGCGCGCTCCCCCGCTTTGTTACGTGTTGATTCGTTTAATTTGATTTATTTCATATGCACCTTGGCGTGCGTAGTGACGCGGTTTTATTTATTTATATTTTTTTTTCGCCAGAACGCAGAGTGATTATAACGTTTGACTCTTGGCTCAACTCGTTGCCATGGCAACGCAGACTGTACCTATAACGTGATTATATGCTCTTCTAGTCAAATTAGCGGATACCATTTACTTCCATTAGCCGAAATGTCAATTCGCATCGGGTTGCTGGTGAAAGTTTTGACTATCGTTGATCTACCACAACATAGTTCTTCCATCCCCTTATCAATTACCTTAACTTTGTATCGCTGTATCAGAAATGCATCCACGTCCATGCTGTCATCTGATGTCAAATTCACTAAGAGAATGTACATGACTGTTACTTATCCATTGAGTACTTGTTTTCTTTTTCTTTGCTGCTCGGTTACGAAATCTATCCGCCATTCAGGTTCTGATACTGAAACTTGTTTTTGTCTTTTTTGTCTTTCTCGTTTTTTTTTTTTTTTATTTATTCATATTCTGACTTCCATTTCGCGAATTGCATACTTGCCTGCTCGGACAGACCGGTATCGATGCAAGGCAAATATAACGTGTAGCCGCAGTGTGTTAATATGCAAAGACGCATTTGCATATTAAAATCCAGGTGGTCGGGTAGCTTAAAGTTATACGAAAGGGGTCTCGTGGTTGATGTTAAAAGTCGTCTGGCGGCCGATCGCCATTATTGGTTTTCACATGACAGCTGTTACGTCTACATTGATGTTACGAAAAAGAAGAGAATGATTTGATTGAAATCACACCGCGCTTGCATTTGTCGGTGCAGACGACTACGTATGTGTGCATACCTGAGTTGTTTTTCTTCTAACTAATTTAAATTAATTAAAACTCCATTCTGTTCCAACTTAAGGCAAGTTGCGTGTTCTTATTGCGGCTCAATCTTTCATGACGCAAATCACGTTCGAAAAATGTGTAGCAAGCTCGAAGACAATACCAGCGGGTATAGAAATATGCGAATAAAATAGCTTTAAGGCGAATTTCGATGAAAGTCGCCCAGTTTATTCGCTTGGAATTCGTTTCTCGTCGTATGGATAAACTGCGGCTTTGCATGCGAATGCATAACGACATTATGCAGTAACTCGCGGAGCTGTGTAGTTGCACTTTGTACGTCTACAAACGTATTATCAAACACCATCGTATCCATACGTACTGTAAAAGAGTCGCATTCGTGATCTAGGTACGAAATTGATGTTCGTTTATATTGTTTACACCATTAAAAAGCCATTACGCGTGATGCCGTTTCATCCATTGAACGTTAAAATGTTGATGAGACGATAAACACTTTCAAGTTTCCCACCGATAGTTAACGGCGATTCTCGGTACTGCGGTATTAATTGGATAAATTTTAAATACGGCTAAAGCTTTTAGGTTATGTTTTATACGCGATTCGAATTTAGTACTCGGGAAAGGGCGTTATGAAATATTCATAAACCACCGTATGTGTCGCGCTGGACGGTAATAGAGGGTTAATTCGATTGTTGACGACGTATTTTCCATTTTTTTTTCTCCATAAAGTAACTTACGTTTTACGTCGTTACGTTATTTTGTGTGTGAAGGGCTTAAAACGATTAAAGAGGCGACGATGCGCGCGCAGGTTAACGTTAATATTTCGGCAGTCATAGCAGTGAATCCTGCGCACAATATTTCTTTTATGGATCGTACGTTTACGGGTGATAAAATAAATCTGAAATTGAAAAGCGTTAATTAAACGATATTAATATACGTCAAGGTATGGAGAAAAAAGAGGTTAATCGCCCTTTCATCGTTAAACCGGCTGTGGCGCGCATGACGTGCTTCGGACGTTAATAAAGCAGCCCAGTAAGGTTGACGATACTGCATAAGAAAGTCACAATCCAAATAATGGAGGTTTTTCATCTTGAATTCATTTGACGTACCTAGCAGCTGGTACGCCTACAGCTGTGACCTATCCAACATGTCCGGTTTACAAGTTAATAAACATTGCGTGGCGATGTTATACGTTCACTTTTATAGTTCATAAATCGTTCATGCGCTTCTCGCCAACCGCATGATTTACTTGTGTCTTATGGTTTGCTCAACATAGATCGAATTGCGTTGTTGCGATGTCGCGTGACTTTAATTTTTGTTCAGTGCCGTTCTAATAGATTATTTTTCTACGTATCCTACACGTCAATTGAATTTTAGTTGTTCTTACAGACATTCACGGATACATAAGACAGATTACTACGTCCTGTATAAAAGCACAACGGTTCATGTTCTGGCTGTTGTAGCCAAAAGTTGTTTAAGCTGCTTAACGTGGGTCTCAGCTGGCGTCGCTGATGTATGCTTTAACGCTGAAGATTCTCTTATGTACCAACCTAAAACTTTCTTATACTTGTTGAAAAATATTTTCCTGCCGGTTGAACCATCTAAGTGGCATCCATTCATCGCATTCATCACATTCCTGTGGAAGGAATTCTCAAAGCACTCTTGAAGCTTTCTTATTGGAAGGTTACGTTCTGTTCGTCGCAGAATCAAACTTATTACACATCGAAGTTATTCAATGTGTCAAGATCTACTATCAAAAATCCTGTCGTTCGCGAAGGATTTAAAGAAACGCCATCACGTGCCAGGAAAAGCACGGATCGTTAAGATTGCGGTACGTCACTTTGAATTTAACGACACTTAAAATACTGTGATTTGAATTTCGTGTCCGCGACAATTGAAGGTGTTGCGTTCTCGTTGCGTGAGCTGAAAAATTCTCCAAAATCACGAAGAGGAGATTCTCTACAACGTCATGCTAGATATACCGTATCAGTATAGTGACAGAGGTTATAATGCCTTCTCTGACTTTATTACCGTGGTATGGTACCATTGACGTAGGTCGCTTAACCTTTTCAGGGACACTGACACGTATGTGTACGATTCCTTTTTTTAAATTAAAATTATTTCAAGTACTAAAAACTGAAATAATTTTTTTGGCACTTCAAAAGATACGTCCGCGAAGGGGTTGATAGTGCCAATTAAATCCTAGACTTATAAGGCCGAAGAACCGTTAGACATGTAACACCATTTTATGTTATATTTATATTCCATACGTTGTAACTTCTTGTGATAATGTCCTAGTAGACTTTGAAATACTGGTTATACAGGGTGAACCACGAATCGTGATCAGTAGAAATTACTTTGTTATTAGCAGTCCGATCGAGAATGTTTTTATCAGCTTTTGCATGGTTTCAAGAGAGCTTTAACGTGTTAGTGAAAATTTACTGGTCAACTCTTTTTTTAAATGTTTTTTCAAGGTTACCTTGAATTTTTTGCAACTGAACATATAATTTTTTTACGCCTGTCTGTTAGAGGATTTCAAGACGAATTCGGCACATGTAAGGACATGACATTTTTTTCATCCGGTTCGAAAGAAAATTAAAAAACTAAATACTCCTTATCACAAGGAGAATCACAGCTACGCCGTTATACGCATCCATTC